TCCCATCAAGCAGCATCCTCGTGTTGGTAAAACCTCTTCCCATAAAAACCCAGGCAGGGACTTCCAGGGAAAGAGGAGCTAATGGGAAGTTAAGGGTGGGTGGGGCTATGACTGGGGTCACATGAGACTTGTTAGTTCATCAAACCCAGCAGAGAGATGTACAGTGGGACCTGGCAGGGAGAGGTCCCACTGTCCCCAGACAGCCCCTGCAGTGCTGGCAACACCTCTTGTGCCTTGAGCACCCCAGCACCAAGTGTACCTGGGGACAGCCAAGATAATCCCACCCCTGAGAGTGCTTGAGGCCAGGTTGGAGCAACCTGGGCTACTGGAAGGTGTCCCTGCCCATGGCAGGGGTGGAATGAGATGACCTTTAAGGTCCCTTCCAACCCAAACCATTCTGTGATTCTAGTCTAGCATCCTGTCCTTGATGCTGAGACACATGTCCATGGTGGCTTCCAGCCTCATCCCAAGGACAGGATGGCTCCCTTGGCTGCACCAGGCACGTGCCATGGGGGTGCACAGGGGGGGTTGAGTGTTCTCCCCAGCCAACATGCTGGGGGATGCCATGGGATGCACAGGGGAGGGGGAGATGGGGTCGCCACCCTCAGAACCACACTCAGAGTACCCAGTGATCCTCAGTGTTTTAACAGCTGCCCATCCAGCCCCATCTCCAGATCAACTCCATGACTCCTGGAAGGCTGATGGGAGCAGGGAGGGATGTTGCCCTGCTCCAGAGCCCCTGCTGTGCACCAGCCCAAGGACACGCTCCCCCCTGGCCTCCCACTGGTGCCCTCCAGAGTGCCTGGTGATGGGCAGGGGTTATCCAGGTTTCTGGCCAGAAACCATGGGAGCTGCAGCTGGAGCCCCATGGTAGGGTGTTGGTTGGTCCCCTGCCTGCTGCCCACAGCTCAGACCTGGCTGCAAACATCAAACTCAGAGCTGGCCTGGGAGAGCCATGGGCACAACCATGGGCTGGTGACAATAGCTCTGAGCGCGGGACTCGGCGAGCCAGAAGGTTTCACTTGCTGAAAATAAGGCTGAGCAGAGACTTGCCTTGATTGCTGGGTACCACAGAGCCCTGTCCATGCCTCATAACCCACCTCCCCCTCCTGCCCCCGCCCTGGGAGACATTTCTCTGGCCTGACTGACAGAGGTGTCCATTTCAGATAGTTTGGAGCTTTCTTTCTGCACCATCTACAGGGCTGACAACCTGTTGTTCAACAACTAACAAGGCAGAAAATCACTAGGATGCTCAGCATGGGAAGAGACAGCTTCCATGTCCCTTGGTGAAAGATGGAACCTGCACCACCTTCCTGGAACAAACATCTTGGCCAAACACTTGCTCAGCAGACAGACAGGGTGGATGAAAAACTTGTAACCCCACATGATGCTGCTGAGTCTGGCTGTTCTGATCTCCTGTACCAGCCTCAGCTGCCCTGGGACCGTGAGGAGGCCACGCTGTTTCCACGGCCTGCCCCTCACACATACCTTTCCTTTGAGTGCATCCACAAAGCCCCGTCCCGCCCCGTTACTGTGACAACGCCGTCAACAGCTCGCCGATCAGGGTTGGGGTCTGGGGGGCCGGGCAGGTGTGGGGCTCCTCGTAGCTATGGCAAAGGCGTGTTTACTTCGGTGTTTTGCACGTTGGTGTTACCCTCGGGACAGCTCTGAGCGTGTGACAGCAGCGTAAGGCTCTTTGGCATCTCCCCCAACAACTATGTCAGCGTTTGGGGGGACTGTGTGTGACCCGCACCTGCCACCGCCACGGGACTGGCTGCAGGAAGCGTCCGTCCTTCCCGGAGCTCCACGGCTCCCGGCAAATCCCCCAGCCCTGCTGCAGGCAGGTCCTGGGTGTGGCCCCAGGAGCCCTCGTGGTGGGTTTGCTCACCCTGATATCGCGCTGTGCAGCAACACCGCCCTCCCCCCCATCCTTCTCCCCATCGCGGGAAGAATTTCCTGCCTTCCCCCCTTCCCCTCAGAGCATACCCCTATCATGTGCCTTGCCCAGCAGCTTCTCCTCGGCACTTTGCAGACTTTGGGGGACACTCCTGCACACTTGGGGGACACTCCCAGCCCGTCCCCGGGGGCGGCTCGGGGAGCGCTCGGCTCTGCCCCGGCCGAATCACAAAGGGTTTTGGATCCCGCTCCCGGCGCGAGTGCCAGGGCGGGGAGATCTTGCCTCACATCTATTCTTTCTAGGTACAAATCACGCATTCAAAAGTCAGAGCCCTTTTCATTGGCAAGGGATGGGAGCTGCTCGGAGCCGGCCAGCTGCCCCAGTTCTGATTCCCAGTTCTGCTTCCCAGCGAGGCCGCTTTCCCAGCCCCTCTCTGGGCATGTTTTACAGACAGACGCACCGAGGATGCATCACCCGGACTCCCGGCCAGCCCCGACCGGGGATCTGAGTCCCGCGGGCCACATCACAGCCCTGAGGCTGCTGGAACCGCTGCAAAGCTGCTGGTCCCTGCATCCATCCGCTCCCGCGCCGCTCCTCTGGAGCAGAGAGCTCGTGTTTAACGACCGCGTGTGTTTTCACTCAAGCATTACATCACCCGGCAACGCCAGCCGGGGGGACGGACGGACGGATGGACGGACAGACGGGCCAGCCCGGCTGTGCTGCCCCGGGAGATGCTCATCCCCTCTCCACATGCTGGGGTGCTCCGTGACCCCAGCCCGCAGCCTTTTGCAAGGATGCAGGTGAATCCACTCCCAATCCTACACAAGTCCACGCAAAACCCACTGGGGGGGCCAGCAGCTCATCCACAGCCCTCCCTCCCCACCCCAAACCATCCCCTTGGTGTATCCCAGCGCCGGGTGTGGAGGGCAAAACGTTCCTAAATTTCCACCTCCCAGATTTCCTGCAGCCACAGCCATCAGCACTTTCCCTAAAATAAAGTGGGAGCTGAGACAAGCCAGACAGGCAGGCTCCAGAGGGACCGGTCCTGAGCATGGATTGAGCTCACACTTCTTTAAGAGGGCAGCCAGGTTTGGGCCTTCACACCTCTCAGGGCCCGGGAGGAACTGGGTGGATTTGCTGATAATTTGCTGCCAATTTCCGCAGCGGTGGAAGGAACATTGGGAATGGGGGGCCCTGATGACAGGGAGCCCCACGGGAAAGCGGTGCAGACAGGGCATTTCCGTGCTCTCACTCCCTTGGCAGCAGCTTGGGGCTCATGAGGAGGCAGGTACTGGGATGAGCAGCATCTCAGCTCCTGGCACTGCGGGGAAGTCGCAGTGTTGGACCTGCAGGGAGAGGGATGTTTTTCATTCCTTGCCCTTCATCCACACAGCAGGTTGAAGGAGGGAATTCTCCCCTTTTACTCTGCCCTTGTGAGACACCACCTGCAGAGCTACTTCCAGCTCTGGGGTCTCCAACACCAGAAGGATGTGGAGCTGCTGGAGCGAGTCCAGAGGAGGCCACAGAGATGCTTCCAGGGCTGGAGCCCCTCTGCTCTGGAGCCATGCTGGGAGAGCTGGGGGGTTCACCTGGAGTAGAGAAGGCTCCAGGGAGACCTGAGAGCCCCTTTTAGAGCCTAAAGGGGCTCCAGGAGAGCTGGAGAGGGACTGGGGACAAGGGATGGAGGGACAGGACAAGGGGGAATGGCTTCAAACTGGCACAGAATAGGGTTAGATGGGATATTGGGAAGAAATTCTCCCCTATGAGGGTGGGGAGGCCCTGGTACAGGTTGCCCAGAGAAGTTGTGGCTGCCCCATCCCTGAAGTGTTCAAGGTCAGGTTGGACAGGGCTTGGAGCAACCTGGTTTAGTGGAAGATATCCCTGCCCATGGCAGGGGATTGGAACCAGGTGAGCTTTAAGGTCCCTTCCAATCCAAACCATTGCATGATTCCATCATTCATCCCCCAGTTTAACCCAGTACTACCCCAGCTGCCCCCCAACACCCGTGCAGAGTTACCCCACGAGAAAGGGGCCAGGTTGGCCCTTGGGGACATGCAGGGCCCGGGTTAGGGCTCAGAGCTGATGGAGTCCAGACCACCCCCCCCCTCTGCCCCAGGATCGGGGGGCACCGGGGGTCGCGAGGGTATCACCAGCTCGGGCCGGGCCGGGCGCTGCTTGTCCCCAGGACACCCCTGGCCGGGAGGGCACCGCCGGGTCCCGGCAGTGCGTTTTCCTGCAAACCGCCCGGTTTTCCCGTCCTGCCGGACACCCCGCGCCCGCCACCTAACGGCCAGCGCCGGGGGACACCGGCACCCGCGCCCGAGAGCCGGCACCGGCATCGGCACTGGCACCGGGATCCGGGAACCGGCACCAGGCACTGACACGGGGCACCGACACCGGGATCTGGCACCAGCACCGGCACCAGCGCCGGGATCCGGACATTGGCACCGGTCCCGGGCCCCGGTCCCGGGCACTGGCCCTGACACTGGCACGGGGCTCAATGCACCGACATCAGTACCGAGACCCGAGCTCCGCGTACGGGACACTGGCACCGGTCACCGGCACCGGCCATCGGGCCAGTCCCTTCCCTTGCACCCCGCGGCTGGAGCGGCAATCCCCCCGAATTCCCCCCCTGGACACCCGCATCCCTTCACCCAACCGATCCCCACCTGCATTCCCCCACGCTCTGGCCGGTGCCACCCGGGATGCGGGACCCCCAGGTACCACCGGGGATGCGACACTCACCCGTGACCCCAAACCCCCCGTGGCACCCATGCCGGTGGGCGCAGCTCCCGTGCCCTCCCCCACCGCCTGCCTTGACAGCTCCCCCCCTCTTCCAGCGGTTTTGGCAGAGACGCGCCGGCTTGGAGAGAGCAGCGAGGAATTAAAAAAAAAAAAAAAAAAAAAAAAAAAAAGAGAGAGAGAGAGAAAAAAAAAAAAAGAAGGGGAAAAGGGAAAAAAACCCCTCCCCGAGCAGCCAAGCCCAATCGGCGGGAGAGGCTCGTGTGTGTTTGGCCTTTCCTCATGACGTAGTGTCCTGTGCCTCTCTCCCCCCTCTCCCTCTCCTTTTCCCCTCCCTCCTTACCCCCCTCCCCTTCCCCTCGCATCCTTGGAAGCAACAATTAAGCAGCTCTGGGATAAAACACACAGCCCGCGGGAGCACGGGGGCATTGCTTCAAGAGATGGCAAGGCAGGCAGCTGCACCCCTCCTTCCCGGAGTCCTCCTCCTCCTCTTCTCCATCCTCCCGGCTACTCAGCAAGGAGGTAAGGAACGAAAAGGCTCCTTCCCTTACCCCGGCCAGCGCTTCGCCCCAGTCCTGCGAGGACCCTCCGAGCCCCCCGGGCAGCTCCACGCCTGCCCCGGCTGCGTGGCCCCGAGGAGGGACTGTCACCCACCCCGCCCTGCCTTGGGGACATTCCCGAGGGAAGGCGGGTGCGCAGCCCCCCTCGCTGCCACCTCCGCCGAGGGCTCTTTGCTCCCCAAAGCGGCGGGTGGCTCGTGCCATGCCCGGGTGGGATGGGATGTCACCGAGGGTGGTGACACGGGGCAGTCCCAGAACGGCGCTGCTGCTGCTGCGCCAAACACTTGTCGGGGGGAGGCTCCGAAGTGCTGCGTCCTGGCGAGAGGCTCCGGGACATGAGAGGCTTGGGGACAGGAGGCTTGGGAAGATGAGAGGCTTGGAGACACCAGAAGCTTGGGGACACAAGAGGCTTGGGGACGTGACTCTTGGGGACAGGAGGCTTGGGATTATGAAAGGCTTGGAGACACGGGAAGCTCAGGAACATGCAGGCAGGGCAGCGGGGAGCGGTGGCCACCAGACTCCCACGGGGCTGGTGGCCACCAGGTTCCCAAGGGCAGGGAGGGGGGAAGCTGGCATCGGTCCCTTCCCCACCCGGCGCGGTGTCAGGGTGAGCTGGAGGGGCAGCGGGTGGCAGCATCCCGCGGCCGATGTGTGCGAGCTGCCGCGCAGTGTGTGGCAGTGACAGCCCGCGGGGCTGGTGCAGCCGCAGAGCAGCTCGACCCACCCGAATGGCAGCCCGGGGATGCTCGGGATGGCCCCCGCACCGCCCTCATCGCACTGGTGTCGCCAGCCACCAGGGCCGTGCGACACCCCAGGGCCGTGGAACACCCTCCAGCCCACGCACAGGCGGCCGGGGCGGGGAGGTGACAGCCAGAGCAGCAGGTGACACAGGCGGGGCCAGCGCAGCAGGTGCCTGCCCGGGGGCCGGCTCATGTGCCGGGGTCGGGTGAGCTCCCACCGAGGATGGGAGAACAGCTGAGCACAGACCGAGAGCCCACTGACACGGGCAAACAGCGTGAGGTGGGGACAGCACCTGCGGGGTGGGACAGTCACCGCTACAGAGCCAGGTGGGGACAGCACCTCCGGGGTGGGACAGGCACCGCTGCAGAGCCGGGGTCTGTGCCACAGAGAGTGTGTGACGGGCAGAGCCACCAGCGGGGATGGGGCCGGTGCCAGAGTTTCTCAGACAGGGGACTGAGGACTGGTGGAGGGGAGCGGGCAGGATCCCCCGGGCAGTGCCAGGGCTGTGCAGGCACCAAAGCACCCCAACTGCCTGTGCCCTGGGCTCCCTGCTCTGCCCTGGTGTGGAGGGCTCCCAGGACCCCGTCCATGGGCTGTTGCCCCCTGGCTGTGCAGGCAGTGGCACCCCAGAGCTGGGCAGCTCCTGTAAAGCTGAGCTGCTGTCGGTGCCCGATCCTGGTCAAGGTGCTGGATGGGATATGCCAGTCCTGGGCACCCTCCACGTCCATCAGTGATGCTCCATACTGCCTTGCTGAGCCATGGTGGCTTTGGTCCCCAGCTCTCCAACAATGCCCAACTGGGACACTCCCTGGAGGGCACTGAACCCCGGGGAGACCCTGCAGCAGTTTGTGAGCAGTTCGGGAATGTTGGCCTGACTCCAGGCCCCTGCTCAGTCTCCAGGGTTGTTTGCTGGTTTGGGAAGTAGCTCACTGAGGTGGCCTTGCCCTAGGGATGGTCCCTGTCCTGGTGGGACCCTGGAGAATGCTCCCCCAGGGAGGACTGGGCAGTGTCTCTGCAGCCTGGTGTGCTTGGCCAGCCCTTGGGAGACAGAGGCACAGCCAGTGGCACAGGGTGGGGGATACCAGGGTGCTGGAGGGGGCACCTGGAGAGGGTTCAGGGCAGTGTCCTCCAGCACCTGCTGCCAGGGCAGCTCCAAACCAGCCTGGCAGGAAAGGGACCCCTGAGACATCCCAGGACTGAGGGGGAGAAGGGGGGAACCCTCCTTCACACACAGACTGTCCCCTCAGAGCAGTGCCAGGGGGCTGAGATGGCAGCACTCAGGAAGCCCCCAGCAGTGGGTTGGGATCAGGCCCTGGGGTCTGTCCCCTGGGGAGCAGAGCTGTGCTGGGCACCGTGGGCACCTGCCAGGCTGGGCAGAGCTGGTGGGGGGAAGCTGCTGTGTCTTCCCCTAAAGGTGACAAGTGCAGTGTGTCCCAGTGTTTGGAGTGGGCATCCATCCCTCAGGGCCTCCATCCATCCCTCAGGGCTTCCATTCACCCCTCAGGGCCTCCATTCACCTCTCAGAGCTTCCATCCACCCCTCAGGGCTTCCCCTGCTGAGCATGGGGGATGCTCTGACAGTGACACACACAGGAGGGACAAGAGGGACCCCAGGGAGGTCCCAGCCCCACAGGGTTTTGGGATCACAGGGGGCAGCTCAGGGGGTGTAGAGAGGTGGGTGCTGGGTGTGCTGGCGCTGTGGGGACCCTGTGAGGGCAGCCAGAATCCTCAGGGACACCAGTAGTGCCAGTGGTGGGGCTGGGATGGCATCTCCCCTTCCCAGCTGGACACTGGCCTGCTGGGACTGCTCCCTCCCCAAACAGCTCCGAGGGTGTAGCTCATCTGCCAGCGCTCGGAGATGAAAGCTGGAGCTTCAGGGGGGCTGGAGAGGAGCCAGGCTCCTGCCAGCAGCCCCCCTGCTCCCCCCGAGCTGCTCCCAGCGCGCTCGGGCCAGGATGCAACACGGCTTCAAAGCCACTTGGAGGCCGAATGTTTCCATAACTTTCTCCCAAGAAAAAGAAAACAGCGGAACGAGGGAAGAGGCGAAATGGTGGTGGTTGCTGAGCGAGACTCCTCCGGGAGCGGGTGCCCATGGGAGCAGGGAGGGTGGCGAGGGACGAGGTTTGGCTGCCCGGTGAGGGTGTGAGCTCCTGTCCTGTGGGGGGGTTCTCCAGCCTGGCCTCAGTCTCAGAAGCTGTGGAATAGAGAAATCATCTGGATTTCTGGCTCGTGGAGTCAGCTGTGAGCAGTGGGGCAGGTGGGAATGGAGCAGCTGATCCTGCTGGGATGGGAAGCAGAACAGTTGTGGGCACCACAAACAGTGACCTCTGGGATGGAGCTGGGGCAGAAAAAGGCCACTTTCTGTAAACAAGGAGGCTCCACACCAGATCCTGAGCACCTCCATGGGTCAAACCCCACCACAGCAGGCATGTGGGTGTGAATCCTCCTGCCCCAGGATGGAGAAGACATCCCTGGGGTGGGTGCTGGGATACTGGGGGCCAGCACCATTCTCTGCAAGGTTTACAGCCAGCATGGCCCAGGAGACAAGCTGGGACACTGGGAAACCCCCCTCTGTGGGTCCTGGCAGGCTTGTGGCAGGGGCAGAGGCAGCGCAGAGCTCCTTCAGTGCTGGGAGGCTGGGGACTCAGTTTTCCCTTCCGCATGTGCCAAGGGAAGGGATGGAAAGGACAAAAGGGGGCATGCAGACCCCAAACTGGGCTGGGGCCTGCTCGCCCTGAGGCTGGGGAAGGACAGAGAGACCAGCCAGAGGGTGATGGCTGTGGCCTGGTGTGGTCACAGTGTAGCAGGGCTGTTGTCAACACTCGGTGAGTGTTGGTGCCGCCCATGGGAGGGACTGGTGGTGCTGGGGAGATTTGTAAAACCAAATGGGTTAGAGAGGCCCCCCAGCAGTGCCTGCACCAGGGAACAGCCCCCCAGCTGGGCCATGGATGAGCAGCTTGTGAAAGAGCTCCCAGGGAAGGGCAGAAGTGGCTGTGTTTGGTAGCAGAGGGGTCAGCCATCGTGAGTGGAAGGCTCAGCTCCCCAAAGGCACAGGGTGTCCCCCCAGGCCATCCTGGCTCTGCCAGGCGTTGCTGATTTCCTCCCTCCCACCTCCTGATCTGGGCGTGGAGATGGCTGATGAACCAGCACAGCCTCCAGAAGCTGTCGAGGCACTGGGATGAGCACCGTGCCCTGGGGCTGGGGTGGTGTCTGGGGGATGCCTGGGGAGGGGGCAGTGACAGTGTCCCCACAGTGGGACCCTCCAGCCAGGATCCACGCAGAAGGTGATGATGATGAAGGGCTCTGGGCAGGTGCCACCTAGACCTTCCTGGGGTGCCCGTGCACTGCAGGGGTGCTGAAGCCATCCTGCCTTGTCCCAGCTCCCCGGGGTCACTGGCACAGGGGGGCAGAGGGACATCAGTCTGGGGAGACACAGGGAGACAGAGGAGACCCCCCCAGCACCACCCCAGCACCAGGGACCTGGCCTGGCTGTGGGGGGCTGAGGCTGGGGAGCACTAGGGGGGCTGAGCAGCCCCTGCCTGGTGGAGGACAGTCTCTGGCTGTGGGCATGGGGGTCCCTGGCAGGATCCTGGCCATCCCAGCGGCACTCGCTCCCGGTGGCAGTGGCGTGTCCCCTCCCAGCAGGGCGGGGCGGGGAGGGGGAAGCACAGGCGATGCGTGGACGCTCTGAGTTTGTTTGGAAACAAGCGAGAAGCTGGGTTTTTGTTTATCCAAGCTGGGGGCGGACGGGAGGGAAGGGGAGGGGGAAGGGGGAGGGAGCGGGCGGGGAATGTGCCGGGAAAAGGAGCTGCTCCATAACCCCCGGCCGGCTGCCAGGCCGGACTGTGCCGTGCCGGAGCGGGGAGCCGGCGGCTGGAGCGATGGCTGAGCCCGTGTCCCCTCCATTCCAAGGGACATCAGCTGCTCCAGGGCCCTCGGCCCCGGCAGGACCCTGGGAGGGGGTGTTAGTGGGCACAGGGTCAGGGTGCTCCCTGCGGGGAGCACGGGGGGGCTGTGTGACAGGTCCCGGCACGGGACCCCCCCTGCATGTGCCTCCCCATGGATGTGTGACCCAACATCCCCCGTGCTTGCGCAGCCTGACACCCCTGTGTGTGTCCTGGCACCCCAGTGCACCTCCGTGGTACGACTGGGGGTCCTCCCAGGTGCCCGGGGGGGTGAGCCGGGCACAAGGAACACCCTCATCCCTACCACTGGTGGGGCAGGGCAGGGGGCTGCGGGTGCAAAACGAGGGGGGAAACCCCCTGAGTTTGCCCCACATCTGAGCTGGAGATGTGCAGCACGATGTGCCCCCCCCTCCCCGTGGTGTGCCAGCCCTGCCACCCGCCCGTCCCCCTCGGGCTGCTGCCTCCACCCTGCCCAGCCCCTCGGTGGGGCTGCCAGGGCTGTGTCACTGTGGGCATTTGGCTCCTGGGGGTGCTGGTTCACCCCCGAGCCTGGCCAGGCTGCTGGGGAGGCCACTGCAGGTCCTCAGGTCCCAGCCATGCCACCACAGGGTCCCCAGTGCCCGTCCACCCTGAACTGCAGCCCCTCTGCCCAGCGCAGGCAGGAGGTTTGGCTGCAGCTTGGCACAGGGGTGCTGGCCATGGCAGCCACCCCCACTCCCCCTGGCAGGCCCCTGTCCTGCAAACCCCACTGCAGACCCCACAGCAACCCCTCCCCCGGTGCCAGAAGTGAAACATCCCCCTGCATTGCAACCCCCTTGTAGCTCCAACCCACCTGCCATCCCCCAACCCACCCATGGCCCTGGTGGAGCTGGGGGGACCACCCAGAGGGTGGCTTCCTGGTGTTCTGCAGCACACACACTTCTGCCAGGGTCTAAACAGCCAAAAAACCTTGCTGTGACCTTGGAGCATGAGCTGAGATGCCCTGGAAGGTGATAGGACCTGGGGGGTGATCTCAGTGTCACACAGCCAGGCAGAGGGACACAGGGAGGGTCTGATGGGTCTCAGGAAGGTCCCCCAGTCTGTCACCCCAGTCTCACTGGCCTGAGCTGGCTCTTCCCACTGGCATCTGAACAGGGCATGAGGCAGACCCAGCCAGAGGGTTTGGCTGGGACCAGCATGGGCTGCAGGGCTGAACTGGGACAGACACCCCCTCCCCACACTGTGCCTGGCCCCATCCCCTCAGAGCCATGAGAAGCTGGAGGTGATGGAAGTGGTACTGGCTGTGGTACAGAACAGGATTTGGGAAGCAGAGCTGGACAGCAGCCAGTCCCATGTCCCTCCTTCTTGTCACCACTGTCACCCCAGGGGAACTGAGGGGTGCAAGGAAAGGGACCTGCCCCCGAGCTCCACATCCCACCCCTCGCCAGGGAGCAGCACAGATCCCAGGAGGTGCCACACACATTCCTCCTTCCCCTGCCTTGGACACTTGTGGGGATTTTAACGAGGGTCTTTTCTCTTGCAGGGGTCCCTGGTGCTATCCCAGGAGGAGTCCCAGGAGCAGGCTTTTTCCCAGGTAAAGGGCTCCAGGCAGCACTGGGAGGGGCTTGCAGGAATGGGCAATGCCTGAGGGGGTCCCTGGATGCCTCTGAGACACCATGGAAGGCTGGGGGGCCTGCCAGCTGGGATCAGGAGACATGGGGGCACCCTGTCTGGCTGCTCAGCCCTGGGTGGCTGTCCCAGCACCCACCTCACGGTGTGGGACAGGAGTGGGTGGCAATGCCAGACTTACCCTGGGGGCCACTGGCCCAGGGCTGGCACCTACACCCTGCCCAGACTGGGAGGATCCCAGAGTGGATGCCCTTGCACCCCTGTGACCCTCTGTGCCTCCCCATGGCCCCTGGGAGGCTGGCATGGGTGGGTGGGTGCTGACAGGGGTGGGTGCTCAGGCTGTGCCGTTGCTCGCAGGTGCTGGAGTTGGAGGTTTGGGAGCAGGTGAGTGCTGGGATGGGGAGGGGGGCAGCACCTCCGGCAGAGCTGCCCTGTGGTGGGCAGGGGGTCTGCCACGAGGCTGGCCCTGTCCTACAGGGTGTCCCTCCCGGGGGATGCCCGGAGGAAGGACGGCTCTGAGCCCTCTCCGCTCACTCTCCCGTAGGACTCGGGGTTGGAGCTAAACCTCCCAAACCAGGTAAGGAGCCTCTCCACGGCTCTCTCCATCTCCTGCCATGCCAGTGGCCAGGATATTTCCCAACCCCTGTTGCCCTCATGTTTCTCCTACCTGGCATGGGGGGTCCCCCCCACCGCGGGCACCCCCATGGCCGAGGCACACAGCATCCCTGCCCTGCCACAGCCTCCAGGAGCCTCCCTCCCTCACCCCCTGCTTCGATGTGCTGTCCTCTCCCCTCCAGCCCCCCCCAGCCCACCCTTTTGGGGGCGCTTGCTACCTGCAGAGCTGTGCCAAAGCATCTGGGGGAGCTGCAGAGCCGGTGTCCCGTGGGAAGCTGGCAGCACCTCCGCTCGCCTGCCATCGTGGCTGAGCAGCTTTTGCTGGGGCTCCTGCAGCCACGCTGGGGTTGGCCTGGCTTAGAAATGAGAGGGGTGAGGGCACATCACTGGGAGAGGGGTGAGATGCTGGCAGGAGGATGCACAGCCTGAGGGAACCAGTGGGAAAGGTGCTGGGGCAGCAGGGAGTGAATGTGCAGGGGGCAAATCTGTTGCCAAGCGACATCATGGAAACATAGAATGGCCCGGGTTGGAAGGGACTGTAAAGATCATCTTGTTCCACCCCCTGCCATGGGCAGGGACACCTTCCACTAGCCCAGGTTTGCTCCAGGCCCCGTCCAACCTGGCCTTGGACACTTCCAGGGCTGGGGCAGCCACAGCTTCTCTGGACAACCTGTGCCAGGGCCTCCCCCCAACCCCTGAGCAGAGAATTTCTTTGCGACATCCAATCTAAATCTCTCCTCTTTTGGTTTAAAACCATTCCCCCTTGTCCTACCGCTGTCTGCCCAGTGCTCATTGTCACCCACGGAGAGATGCTGCTTTAGGCAGGCACAGGGGTCTCCCCTCCCTGCCCACCCCGGGGGTACCCGCTGTGCCCGGGGCAGGGTCACCCCACCCCCCCGGCCCCCCGAGCCGGGCCGTCTGCGCCGCGGGAGCGCCAGCCCGAGGCGGGGGCCGGCAACCTCCGTTTACTCAGATTTCAGCTCGTGGAAAGAAAAACAAGGCCCTTTATTTCGGCGTAATTAAAACCAAACGCGGGGCGGCCGCGAGGGCTCAGCCGGAGCGGTGTCCGCGCCCCGAGCCAGCGGCACTGGAATTTGCGCCTGGAGGGAGCGAGGGCTGATGAGCCCCAGATGTTGGAAGGCAGCGCTGGCCGGAGACCCAGGGGCTCATTCCTCAGCCATAAACATTTTGGTTCCGTCCCCTCGTGGCCCGGCGGGGTGGGGGGTGGCTGAGGCAGAAGGGGACGGGATGGAGGATGCGGCTGCTGCCGAGGGCATTTGTCACCAGTCCCCCTGGTGTGCTCCCATCCCGTAGGGATGGTGCAGCAGGGACTCTTCTGCTCCTCTGGGCTGCCCACCCGCTTTTCTTTCCAGGGGTCGCAGGACTTGGGGGACTCGGCCCACTTGGCCTGCAGCCAGGTGAGCACAGACCACCGATGTCCCCAGAGACCTGCCCTGGGGACAGCACGTCCCTTGTCTTCCCATAGCGCTCCATACCCTGCCTGGGCATCCCTTCCCAGGCCTGAGGGACTGCAGCCACCAGCAGGCAGCCCTGTGGTCCCCCAACACCACAGCATCAACCACAGCGGGGTGACCCCACAGGCGAGGAGCAGTCTGGGGTCTGCAGGGGGACAGAGGGGCAGTGCCTGCACAGGGTCAGCCAGCCTCCCTGAGGCTGCAGGGGTGGCAGCACCCACTGCAGGGTGGTGTTTGAGATGAGTGGGGTGCAGATGGGAGCAGGAATTTGGGGGATGCAGGACAGGGCAGTGCCTGCTAACCACCGCCTCGCCCAGCCTAACGCCAGCCCTGGCACCGCCGCACAGCACCCCCAGCTCTGCACCCACCACGGAGGGCAGGACACCCCCTTGGCAGCTGCTTTTTGATGATGCTCACGCTGGTTGTTCTCCCCACAGGTGCTGCAGGTCTCTTCCCAGGAGGTGCCTTCCCTGGGGGGGCCTTCCCAGGGGCCGCCTCGGCCGCGGCTCTCAAGGCTGCTGCGAAAGCTGGTGAGTGCTGGGGGGGTCTGGGTAAGGCCAGGGCCACACCGGGGCTCCTGCAGCTCCCGGGGACTCCTGGTGTCCCCTGGGACTCTAGGTTAGGAAAGATTTCCCCCTGGAGCTGGGGGGCTGCAAGCAGGAGGTGCCGCTCCCACTGGGATCCCCACCGGTTCGGAGGGACCCAGGCACAGGTAAACCGGTCAAACCTGAGCCCCCAGGAGCAGAGAGCACCGAGCTGCCTGGTCCCCAGGCACAGTACACCCTGGCACTGCCTCAGGATGTCCCCTTCGCCCCTCTCCTCCCCTCCAAGAGCCACCCTGACCTTGTCCCTTCTTTGGCACCGTTCCGGCCAGCCGCAGCTCAGCGCTGGCATCTCCCGCCGGCACACTCCTCTTCCCAATGCCCCCAGGTGCTGGCCTTGGAGGCGTGGGTGGAATTGGTGGTCCCGGTGGCCTCGGGGTCTCCACAGGTAGGAAACACCCCTCGTCCCCAGCGTAGCCAAGCCTGGGGCAGACCTGTCGCCGTGCCCGCCGGGGCGGGCAGGAGCCGGTGCCGGGGCTCAGGGGTCTCTGCTGCCTGCAGGTGCCGTGGTACCGGGCGCGGTGCAGCCCGGGGTTGGCGCGGCAGGGAAACCCCCTAAAATACCAGGTAGGTGCACGGCCCCAGAGCCAGGGGCCAGGGAGGGAAACCAGTGCACCCGGGCCCTCATCCCCGGATTTCTCTTGCCTGGCAGGTGCTGGGATTCCTGGAGCTTTTCCGGGCGGCGTGCTCCCCGGAGCAGGTGAGTGGGGGGGGTCCCTAGCCCACCCACCAGCAGCGCCCCAACCTCTGTGGGGGTCCCAACCCCACCAGCAGCACTCTGATCTCTGAGAGGGTGCCCACTCTGCCAGAGACACCCTGACCTCTGAGGGGATTCCCATGCCACCAGCAGGATACCAACTTCCAAGGGGGTCCTCATCCCGCCAGCATCACCCCAACCTCCAAGGGAGTCTTCACCCTTTACCCTGTCAGCAGCACCCCGACCTCTGAGGGGATTCCCATCTCACCAGCAGCACCCCAATTTCTGAAGGGATTCCCAACCCCCACCAGCAGCACCTCAACCTCCAAAAGGATCCCTACCCCGCCACCAGCACCCCAAGTTCCAAGAGGTCCCCCTGCCCGGTGCCAGCACCCCAAGTGGGCAGAGCGCCCTGCCCTGTCCCTGCCAGCCTCCCTGTCTGCCCCGCGCTGCTCCCTGCAGCTTCCAAACCCTTCTGCTGAGGTCACGGTGACATTTCCACTGTGCCGACGGCAGGGGGGACCCGGCATCTCCGGGGGTCCCGTGCCAAGCTCAGCGGGAGCAGGCGGCACCGGCACCGGGAGAGGAGCTGGCACGGCCACGGCAGGGCTGGCGTGGGAAGGAGGGGGAGGAGGTGGCGGGGAGAGAGGAATTCCTCAGTGCAGAGTAATTTGGGGGAGGAAAACTTGTGAAAACAAGATGTTTCGACACTGTCCGGAGAAGAAGTGTGTTGCTGGTCAGGAATGTCTTTTCCATGTCTGAAAACGCACGAGTTATAATGAAAGACATTTGTAAGAGGGGGAAAAAAAAATCCAAACCAAAACCAAACGAAAGAGAAACTTGAAACCCAAAAACCCAACCTAAACACTGCCAGGCCAAAACACTGTCTGCTGCCCTGGGAGGGTTGGGGTCCAGCAGGCAGGACCACCCCCTGCTCCTGGAAGAGTCCTGAGGCCACTGTGCATCTCCAGGGCAGAGGCTTGGCTGTGCTTTGCTGTCAGTGGTGGCACTCACTCCTGAGTGCCATGTTCCCTCTAAGCTCCCCAAGCCCCAGGCAGCTCCAGGGCTGCAGCAAACCCTTCCCTGGCAGCTGGGGGGTGCAGGCAGGCTGGCACAGAGCAGTCCTGGCAAGCACCTGAGGATGAGGGTGCCCTGTCCCACAGTTAGTTCTGAGCCAGAGGTGGGTGACAAGGATTTGGGAGCTGGGTGTGGCGGTCTTGGGTACCAGGAACATCGTGATGCCCCGGCTCACCCTCGGCTCTCTGCTGCAGGCGTTCGCTTCCCTGGTGTAGGGGTGCTGCCCGGAGTACCCACTGGAGCTGGAGTCAAGCCTAAAGGTCCAGGTAGGTCCCTCAGTCCTCTGGGAACACCAGGATGGGCTCATGGCTGGCTCCAGCTCTGCCCCCCTATCCCACTGGAGCTGGCTCCAGCCCATCCTTTGGGATCACAGCCCTCCAGGGCACATGGGTGAGCTCAGCCAACCTCCAGCTGAACCCCCTCAGGCTGATTTGGCCTCCAGGCCCAGCCCTGGGGCTCACACAGGTGTCCTTGTGTTTCCTTTCAGGAGTTGGAGCCTTTGGAGGAATCCCCGGTGAGTGTCCCGTCTCTCTTGCCTGTCCTTTCTCTTCCTTCCCAAGCCTGTCCATCACAGCCATGGTCTCCCCATGCCAGAAGATGCCTCAGGGCTTCCTAGGCCACCCACTCTCCTCTCCTGGGGTGCCCTGGGGCGCTCCCCTCTCCCAAGGACTGGTGGCGGTCGTGGCGCGGGCTCCAGGTGAGAGTGTGCTGTTGGCTTTGCAGGACTGGGAGGTTTTGGAGGTCAGCAGCCCGGTGTCCCTCTGGGGTATCCCATCAAAGCTCCTAAGCTCCCAGGTAAGCTGCTGCCACAGCCAGCGGGGCTGCGGGTGGAGGACCCCCGGCAGTGTCAGGAGAAGGACCCGCCGTTCCCCTGGGGCTGTGCCCACGGGTCCCCTGGACCTGGCAGTGCTGGTGCTGGCCCTGGGACAGCAGGACAGTGCCCAGGGCTCTGGGCAGATGGGCCCCTGGGCAACCCTGCCTGCAGCTGCCCCATGGGCAGGTGCTGGGGTGATGCCTCTGCTCTTGCCCCTGGTCCACATGGACAATGCTGTGCCTCTCTCCAGCTGGTGTAAGGTAGGGAAGGTCGTGTTCTGGGGACGTGCTTTGGCCAGGCCACCCTGAGATGTCCCTGCCAGCTCCTCCTGGCAGGAGGCACAGCCTTTCAGGGGCTGTCTTCTCACTGTGCCTCCTGGGGTTGTGCCAGGCATTCACCTGGGCCAGGCGTCCTGGCTCAAGGAGCTGTGCCAAGCAGCTCCAGGCAGGTCTCCCTTCCCAAGGAGGCTCAGCCCCAGCCTGGGGAGGCCTGGTGGAGCTCAGCACTCCCTTCCCAGGCTGGGCTGATCCGGGGGGCTCCATCCCCCAGCCCTGTGCCAGCTCTGCCCATGGGGGGACAGTGGCACACACTGTACCCTCCAGGGGCCGTGCTGCCAGCTCCAAGTGCATCCCCTTGAGGAGGAGGAGGAGGAGGGCAGCCAGATCCAGGCAGGGACTCCCACGCCTGGGGGGCTGCTTTCCCCACTCACCAGGTTGCTGCAGGCAGGAGAGCCTGGGCAAGGGCAGCCCACCCTCGGGAAGCACATCCCGGCCCGGCACGGGCGCCAGCCCCGGCAGCTCTGCCGGCTTCCCCCCGACGGGGCCCGTCACCACAAACGGCAGCGGGAATGCTTGGCCCGCCCCGGTTTCCTCCGCCGAGCACAGTTACGCTCGTCAGGGCCCCGCCGCCGGATCCCGTCTGGGCTCCCGGCCCCAAACCGCCTTTCATGGGGTGCCCGGTGTGCAGGACAAGCTGCCAGCCGTGCCTGGCTCCCTCCCACGGTGGCCCACAGCCCAGCTGAGCCACCTCCGGGGAGCCGTCACCAAATATATCCCGGGAGGACACTCCCCCCATGGTCAGGGAGCCTGTAGGTGCAGGACAGCAGGGCTGTCCCCAGCTGCGGTTTCACCTGACACTCGGGTTGTTCCTGGGGTGTCGGGGAATGTCAGTTTGTCCCCTCTGAGGATTTGGGGCTGGCAGTGCAGGAAAGGCCAGGCTGGCTGCAGAGGCTCTTGTTTAGATGCTGCAGATGGATCCGGGGGCTGCCACACATGAGGGTGTTCCCCTGCACTGTCCCCATTGCAGCAGGTCTGGGCTGAGAGGGGATGAGGGGACAGGCCAAAGTACACTGTCAGTGGCAGGTCACCTTGTTGCATGATTTGCTCCTGTGCTGTCCCTGCTCAGGAGGTGGTCCTGGGGTCACCCCCCTTGCTGGGGGCTCAACCTGAAGCTGTGGCTGAGATCGAGGTCCCACTGATGCCGTAGGGATCCCAGTGTCCAGCTGTGCTTGGGTGACATCAGTCTGTGCAGAGCCCTTCCCGTGACACCCACAGTGCCCATTGGCCTGAGCCACCCTGGCAGTTCTGGTGACATCCCCATGGGCACAGTCCAGGGCAGGAGCTGCTCTCCCATCCAGCTCAGAGTGAGGAGGGGCTGGCAAAACCCTTGGAGACCCAAGGACTTGGACTCTTGGAGTCACCTCCAGGAGTGTCACCCCAGTGCCAGACCCTTTCACAGCTTTGGGGTGAGCAAAGTGCTGATGAGGTGCCCCAAGATGGGCAAGGGGGGTCCTCCAGGTGGAGGACACGTGGCACAGCTCACAGCTGCCACAGCCTGGAAAAGCCTCTGCCCTCCAGCAGCGCTGTGCTGGTGTGGGACACCATGGGACAGCCTGGCAGAGTGCAGGGAAATCTGGTCCCCACATGCTGGCTGTGGGAGGGGATGGCGTCCTGTGCTCAGGGAGATGCTGTGCCATGAGCAATCCAGTCCTGCCCTGCCCAGGGCAGCCCCCTCGGCAGGAGGGCTTGGGGTGTGAGACACTCTCCACCCTGCCTGCTGTTCCCATCAGGAATGTGGCAGCCCATCTCCTCCCCTCAGGCCGCTGCCAGCAGTGATGGGAGCTGGATGCTGCTCCCCAGGGCGCAGTTCCCGCTGAGTTTGGGGCATCCCCGCGCCCTTCCAAGCACTGGGATCCGCTGGGATCCGGCTCTTTCGCAAGGAGACGCTTCCCTGGCCATGATGTTCCCGCTCGTAATCCCTCCCTGTCCCTTCAGGCCGACCTCCTAAGGAGGTCACGTTTCAGTGGAGGCTCCCAAGCCCTGATTCCAATTAAACCCTTTCCTCTGGAGCTGGCTGTGGCGCAGCCAGCTGGGTACAGCTCTTGCCGCGGGGCTCCTGGGGGACCCCCTGCCAGAGCGGGGTCGTGGGAGGCTCCTGCAAAACCAGCTTCAGGCACCACAGCCCTCGGCACAGGGCTGGGAGTGGGCAGCTCTCCTTGGAGCCACTGCTTCCAAGGTGAGGGAGAACATCTCCTGGCCTGGCTCCTCCACGTGGGTTTGTATCCTGGAGGATTTACTATCCCCACGGAAGGAGCCCCCAGGGCTGGTGCCGCGCAGGCGGCTGGCAGAGAGGGGCAGGAGCACAGCCACGGGCAGCCAGGTGCTAACCCCCCCCTTCTCTCCTCTCCAGGTGGCTATGGATTGCCCTACACCAATGGTAAGCTGCCCCACAGTGAGTGCCCATAGCCCTCACTCTGCGGTCGTGGCTCCACTGGGTGCCACCGCGACCCTCGGGGCGGCGTGAGGGGCATCCCACTCCCAGGTGTTTCCCTGGGGACCTCATGGCTTGCCCATGATGGCTGTGGGCCTGGCTGGGAGACAGTCAACCCTCCCAGTACCCCACGCCACGGAGCTGGGAGCTGTTGATCCGTAGGACATCCTGAGCCACCGCCAGCTCCAGGAGGGGATGTTTGAAGTGGCAGCTGGGCTGGGGAGGAGCTGGCTCTGGGCATCCTTCGGTGCCAGGGGGAGGAGACCCTTTGGGCAAGGGAGCTGCTCCTTCCTCCTCCTTCCTCGGGCCGGTGCCTGACGTGGCTGTGCCGTTGTGTTTGTGGTTGCAGGCCTCAGGCCCGGTGGGCCAGGAGCAGGCCTTGTGGCAGGGAAGGCAGGGTATCCCACCGGGACAGGTACACTCCGACCCCGCAGCCCCAGGGTGTGGGACTGGCACGGGCAGGGCAGGGGGACCGGGCACCCTGTCCCTTTGGGGTGTTGGGCACTGCCCAGCTGTCTGGTGACCCCAGGGGACAGCCTGGAGGGTGCATCATGTCCCAGAGGTGAAGGGGACAGATGCTGGCAGGAGTGCCCGGTCCCCAGGGTCCCTGTGGGGTGGGGGAGCCGAGGTGGGGATGGCACCTCAGCGGTTGCCCATGTCCTTCCCAAGGAGTCGGAGCTCAGGCGGCCGCGGCAAAGGCAGCAGCCAAATACGGTGAGTGGCCCTGCACGGCACATCCACCGCACGTGTCCCCAGCGGGGCAGCTGGGCCCTCCCTGCCAGGCTGGGGGTGCGTTGGTCGTGTCCCTGCATCGCTGGGCTGACCATCTTCTTCTCCCTTGTGGCAGGAGCCGGTGTCCTGCCCGGGGTTGGCGGCATCCCAGGAGTCGGCGGTTTGGTACCCGGTGTGCCAGGAGCTGGAGGTGAGGGGGTGACAGGGCTTGGCCCTGGGGTTCAGGGGGGGTCACCTCCCCTTGTCCCACACCCCTGACTCTCTGACATCCCCCAGTTGGAGGACCAGCGGCGGCAGCAGCAGCAGCAAAGGCGGCGGCGAAGGCAGGAGCCTTTGGTGAGTTCCCGGTGCCACGGTCACATCTCGGGACATGGAGAAGCCTTCACTGATAGCAGGGCTGTGTGGCTCCACCACCTGCCCCAGCAGCCCCTGTCCCACCTCCTGGGGTGCTCTCCCAGTTCTCTATCCTGGCTTCTATAGCTTTTTGGGCAGTGACGATGGGCTGATCGGCCCCTTGTGATGCAGCAGCCTGGCATGGGGGAGTGCATCCCCCTCACATGTGGTTTCTCCATAAGAGATAGGGGTTTGCTGTGCCAGGTGCCAGCAGGGTGTCGAGGGACATGGTGTCTGTACCGAGCTGTCACTCCTTAGCAGAGGGATGCTCCTCATGATGCAGGTCTCCTTCTCTCTGTTTCCTCCTTGGCTCTTTTGAGGGAAAAAAATGGGTAGTAAAGCACTCATTGGAGCATCCAGGGAAAAAGTGCCAGCCCTGGGCACAGCTGGGATTTACAACCCCAGTGCTAGGGTCTCCAAGTTCCTGGGTGGCCTCCAAACCCCTGAACTGGGTGTAGGGAGCTGGGAATTGCAGTCCTGGCTGTACTTGGCTTCCCTGAGCAGCTGCTTTGTGAGGAGGGGGAACCCACTACAAAGTCAGGTACTCTGGAGTGTCTTAAGACCCTGGGACAACCCAGTGGCTGAGAGGGGTGTTTTGGGGGAGTTTGACTGTTCTGCTTCCCTCCAGCTCCAGGGGCAGTGCCTGGAGTTGGTGGTGTCCCAGGCCTCGTACCCGGAGTTGGAGCTGTCCCCGGACTGGTGCCCGGCGTTGGAGCTGTCCCCGGGGTGGCAGGTGACTGTTCCCAGGAGCCCTGTCCCCACCACCCGGCTCTGTGGGGCTGTGGTGGCTGAGGGTCCCTCTCTCCTTGTCCTCAGGGGTGCCGTCGGCAGCAGCAGCAGCAAAGGCAGCTAAGATCGGTACGTGCTGTGCGGAGCCCCCACGGCCCCCAGGAGCCCTGAGCACCCTCTGTGCCCGCCACACACAGGGGGTCCCCTGGGGATCACTGCAGAGGGAGGGTGGGATGTGCTCAGCCCAGCTCCCAGCTGCTCCAGCCAGGCTTGGCTTCATCCCCCGGGTGGGACCTGGTCCCTCTCCAGGGTCTCTGGAAGCTGCTTCATGGAAAGGAATGATGAGACTCCAGCTCATGTCTTTGCATTTGGTCTGAATTTTTGGGCTTTGTTCCAAATCCATTTTTTCTAGCAGCAGATCTGAGACAGGATCTGGTGCCCAAGGGTGGGCAGAGATCCTTGGCAGAGGGAGCCCTGCCCAAGGTCACCCACCACCTTCCAAAGACCTGGTGGCATCCAGCAAGTGCATCCAGCTGGGTCTTGCCCAGCAGGCATAACCACCCCATGGAGCTCCAGTGAGGATGAGGGACATGGCCAAGTGGAGGAAGTCTGGGAGCTCAGGCACAGAGAGGAGGCAGAATTGGCCCTGAGGCTCCACCTGGGACTGGGGGTCCATGTGCTGATCCAATTGCTGTTCCAAAAGGCAGAGCCAGTGGTTACCTGGCCAGGTCCCAGGACCTTCTCCATCGTCACTGTGGGAATGCCTAGGAGGAGCCATGCTCTGTGGCAGCTCTCCTTTGAGGGTTAAATCATTGATGCCCATTTCTTCCACTTTTCCTCCACATCTTCTGGGGAAAAAAAAGTCGCACCACATGCCCAGGGAAGGAGGGGATTCAGGGAGAACCTTGGCAGTGGGTGCTCTGTGCTGGGGTGCCAGGGCCCTGCTGAGCAGGGGACTATGAGGACAACCTCTCAGCCCTTCCAGAAAGGACTTGATGCTTGTCCCTGTGGCTACTGGGTCATGGCTCTTAGTGCCCTGGGCAACTCCCCAGTCTGACCAGTGCCCTGGGCACTCAGCCCTTCCACAGAGCTACTGGGGACCACCAGCCAATTCTCCTCTGTGGCCTGTTTGGCTGCAAGGCTTGTTGTCCCCATGATGAAGACCACCTTGAGCCCCCCGTGATGATGAGGATCACTGTGGTCCTCTGTGTCGTGGTGACTTCCCAGTGATTGCTGGAAGAGTCAGGGAACCCATCCCCCCTGTCACTGATGTCTCCTGGACAAGGCCAGGGATGCTCTGCTCACCATGGCACCATGACAAGAGCAGAGCCATGACAAGGTCCCTGGACCTTTCAGCTGCTGCTGCAACGAGCTCTGACTGCTCCCCTCTTGTTCCCTGCAGGAGCTGGCGTTCCCGGGGTTGGTGTTCCTGGTGTTGGCGTTCCCGGTGTTGGGGTCGGTGGTGTCCCAGGCCTCGTGCCCGGAGTTGGAGCTGTCCCCGGACTGGTGCCCGGCGTTGGAGCTGTCCCCGGGGTGGCAGGTGACTGTTCCCAGGAGCCCTGTCCCCACCACCCAGCTCTGTGGGGCCGTGGTGGCTGAGGGTCCCTCTCTGCTTGTCCCCAGGGGTGCCATCGGCAGCAGCAGCAGCAAAGGCAGCTAAATATGGTACGTACGAGGGAACGGGGAGACCCAGCTCATGTCTCTGCACTTGGTCTGAATTCCTGGGGCTTGTTCCAATCGATTTTTCCAGCAGCAGACTTGATACAGGATCTGGTGCCCAAGGGCTCAGCCTCACTGCAGGGTGGGCTGAGATCCCTGGCAGAGGGAGCCCTGCCCAAGGTCACCCACCACCTTCCAAAGGCCTGGTGGCATCCAGCAAGTGCATCCAACTGGGTCTTGCCCAGCAGGCATAACCACCCCATGGAGCTCCAGTGGGGATGAGGGACATGGCCAAGTGGAGGAAGTCTGGGAGCTCAGGCACAGAGAGGAGGCAGAATTGGCCCTGAGGTTCCACACTGGGACTGGGAGTCCATGTGCTGATCCAAATGCTGCTCCAAAAGGCAGAGCCAGTGGTTACCTGGCCATGTCCCAGGACCTTCTTCTCCATCGTCACTGCTGAGCCCTGGCAATATTGAAGTGGAGCCATGCTTGATGGCAGCGCTCCTTTGAGAGCTAAACCACTAATGCTCATTTCTTCCATTTCTGCTATGTGTTTCGTAATTAAAAAAGTCCCACCAAATACTCAGGGAAGGATGGATTCAGGGAGAACCTTGGCAGAGTGTGCTCTGTGCTGTGGTGCCTCTGCCCATCAGGGCACCTCTTGCAGTGGGTCCTTCCAGAAGTGACCTGATGCTTGTCCCCATGGGCCTGGGTCAGGGCTGTCAGTGCCCTGGGCAGCTCCCCAGTCTGACCAGTGGATGCTCTGCTCATCACGGCAGGAGGATGAGAGCAGAGCCATGACAAAGTCCCACCATTCAGCTGCTGCTGCAACGAGCTCTGTCTGCTCCCCTCTTGTTCCCTGCAGGAGCTGGTGTTCCCGGTGTTGGTGTTCCTGGTGTTGGCGTTCCCGGTGTTGGGGTCGGTGGTGTCCCAGGCCTTGTACCCGGAGTTGGAGCTGTCCCTGGACTGGTGCCCGGCGTTGGAGCTGTCCCCGGGGTGGCAGGTGACTGTTCCCAGGAGCCCTGTCCCCACCACCCGGCTCTGTGGGGCCGTGGTGGCTGAGGGTCCCTCTCTCCTTGTCCCCAGGGGTGCCGTCGGCAGCAGCAGCAGCAAAGGCAGCTAAGATCGGTACGTACGAGGGAACGGGGAGACCCAGCTCACGTCTCTGCACTTGGTCTGAATTCCTGGGGTTTGTTCCAAACCCCCAGCAGCAGACTTGATACAGGATCTGGTGCCCAAGGGCTCAGCCTCATTGCCAGGGTGGGCAGAGATCCCTGGCAGAGGGACCCTTGCCCAGGGTCACCCACCACCTTCCAAAGACCTGGTGGCATCCAGCAAGTGCATCCAACTGGGTCTAGCAAGACAGGGGAGCAATCCCTCCCTTGCCCCACTGCTGTTATTCCTGGATGTGGCAGTGCAATGTTTGTTCACCAGGATGACAAGAGCAGAGCCGTGACAAGGTCCCTGGACCTTTCAGCTGCTGCTGCAACGAGCTCTGACTGCTCCCCTCTTGTTCCCTGCAGGAGCTGGTGTTCCCGGTGTTGGTGTTCCTGGTGTTGGCGTTCCCGGTGTTGGGGTCGGTGGTGTCCCAGGCCTCGTGCCCGGAGTTGGAGCTGTCCCCGGACTGGTGCCCGGCGTTGGAGCTGTCCCCGGGGTGGCAGGTGACTGTTCCCAGGAGCCCTGTCCCCACCACCCGGCTCTGTGGGGCCGTGGTGGCTGAGGGTCCCTCTCTCCTTGTCCCCAGGGGTGCCGTCGGCAGCAGCAGCAGCAAAGGCAGCTAAGATCGGTACGTGCTGTGCGGAGCCCCCACGGCCCCCGGGAGCCCTGAGCACCCTCTGCACCCACCACACACAGGGGGTCCCCTGGGGATCACTGCAGAGGGAGGGTGGGATGTGCTCAGCCCAGCTCCCAGCTGCTCCAGCCAGGCTTGGCTTCATCCCCCGGGTGGGACCTGGTCCCTCTCCAGGGTCTCTGGAAGCTGCTTCGTGGAAGTGAACAATGAGACCCCAACTCATGTCTTTGGACTCAATCTGAAATCACGAGTTTTGTATCAATTCCAATTTTTTCATCAGCAGACACAGGATCCTGACAGAGGATCTGGTGCCCAAGGGCTGAGCCTGGCTACCATTTGGGCAGAGATCCCTGGACCTCTCAGCTGTTGCTGCAACGAGCTCTGACTGCTCCCCTCTTGTTCCCTGCAGGAGCTGGTGTTCCCGGTGTTGGTGTTCCTGGTGTTGGCGTTCCCGGTGTTGGGGTCGGTGGTGTCCCAGGCCTCGTGCCCGGAGTTGGAGCTGTCCCCGGACTGGTGCCCGGCGTTGGAGCTGTCCCCGGGGTGGCAGGTGACTGTTCCCAGGAGCCCTGTCCCCACCACCCGGCTCTGTGGGGCCGTGGTGGCTGAGGGTCCCTCTCTCCTTGTCCCCAGGGGTGCCGTCGGCAGCAGCAGCAGCAAAGGCAGCTAAGATCGGTACGTACGAGGGAACGGGGAGACCCAGCTCACGTCTCTACACTTGGTCTGAATTTCTGGGGTTTGTTCCAATTGATTTTTCCAGCAGCAGAACTAGCACACTGTGCCTGAAGGCTCAGCCTCAGTGCAGGGTGGGCAGAGATCCCTGGCAGAGGGAGCCTTGCCCAAGGTCACCCACCACCTTCCAAAGGCCTGGTGGAATCCAGCAAGTGCATCCAACTGGGTCTTACAAGACAGGGGACCAATCCCTCCCTGGCACTGCTGTATTCTCTCCTGGACAAGGCCAGGGATGCTCTGCTCACAACAGCACCATGACAAGAGCAGAGCCATGACAAGGTCCCTGGACCTTTCAACTGCTGCTGCAACGAGCTCTGACTGCTCCCCCCTTGTTCCCTGCAGGAGCTGGTGTTCCTGGTGTTGGTGTCCCTGGAGTTGGCGTTCCCGGTGTTGGGGTCGGTGGTGTCCCAGGCCTCGTACCCGGAGTTGGAGCTGTCCCCGGACTGGTGCCCGGCGTTGGAGCTGTCCCCGGGGTGGCAGGTGACTGTTCCCAGGAGCCCTGTCCCCACCACCCAGCTCTGTGGGGCCGTGGTGGCTGAGGATCCCTCTCTCCTTGTCCCCAGGGGTGCCGTCGGCAGCAGCAGCAGCAAAGGCAGCTAAATATGGTACGTACGAGGGAACGGGGAGACCCAGCTCATGACTTTGGACTTGATCTTTGGGTTTGTTCCAAAGCTGTTTTCCAGCAACAGACCTGACACAGGATCTGGTGCCAAGGGCTCAGCCTCACTGCCAGGGTGGGCAGAGATCCCTGGCAGAGGGACTTCTGTCCTGGGTTATCCACCACCTTCCAAAAACACGGTGGGAATCACCAAGTGCATCCCACTGGGTCTAGCAAGACAGGAAATTGATCCTTCCCTTGCACTGCTTGGTCTGTTCTGGACAAGGCCTTGGGATGTTCTGTTCACCACAGCACGATGACAAGAGCAGAGCCAAGATGAGGTCTCACCCTTTCAGCTGTTGCTGCAACAAATCTAACTTCTCCCAATCTCGTTGCCTGCAGGAGCTGGTGTTCCTGGTATCGCTGGCGTTCCTGGCGTTCCCGGTGTCCCTGGTGTCCCCGGTGTTCCTGGTGTTCCTGGTGTCCCGGGCGTGCCCGGCGTGCCTGGAGTTCCCGGCGTGGTGCCTGGTGTTGGAGGTGAGCAGCTGGGCTGTCCCCAGCCAGTGGGGTGCCACTGGCCTTGCCTGTCCCCTCACTGTCCCCTGTGTCCCCACAGTGGGTGGCCCGGCAGCCGCAGCGGCCGCAGCGAAGGCGGCAGCGAAAGCCGCAGCGAAAGGTGAGTCCCCACCAGCCCTTCCCTGGGGGGCAGGAGAGATGTTTGCCCGTGGGTGGAGTGGGGGCCACCTTGGTGCTCTGGGTGGTGAGAGGGGTCAGTGGGACCCCTGCTGTGGAACCTACCTGCTCGGCCACATCCCGGGACCTCTCTGCGGGAGCAGGACGTGTTCCCGGCGTTGGCGTTCCCGGCGTTGGCGTTCCTGGCGTTGGCGTTCCTGGCGTTGGCGTTCCCGGAGTTGGTGTTCCCGGTGTCGGTGTTCCTGGTGTGGGTGTGCCTGGTCTGGTGCCCGGTGGGGTCGGCATTCCAGGTGAGGTGGTGTCCATGGGACACTCAGGTGTCCCCAGCAGTGCTGGCTGGGGGTGCCGGTGTGGCCACCGCGGCCCATCCATCCCTGCCCTTCTCCTCCCCTCTCCCCCAGGAGTTGGTCCTGCAGCCGCCAAAGCAGCCGCCAAAGCAGCCAAGTTCGGTAAGCTGGGATCTCTCCAGGGTTGTCCCACCTGTCCTGTCTCCTGCTGCCCCCAACCCTGGTTGGGGCCAAGGTCCAGCCCTGCATGGGGTCCCTGTGGGTCGGGGTGAGGGATGAGCTCTCCCCAGGGCTGTGGGTGGGATGTGGGTCTGGCTGTGTCAGGGCTGCTCTCCAGAGAGCTGGATGGAGCGTCTGAGGTTCACCATCCAAACACCCCCTCTTCTACCCACCACAACCCATCTGAGTATCCATCTGTTCCCTTCCCTGTACATCCATCCACCCATCCATCTCACCATCCATTCAAACACTCCACATCCATCCATCTCAACCATCCATCCATGTCACCATCCGTTCAACCATTCATCCATCTCACCATCCATCTATTCATCAATCTCACTATCCATCCATTCAACCACTGACCATCCATCCATCTTCCCCCCCAGCCTGCCATGCCTTCTCAGCCCACTCCTCCCACCCCTTCTCTCCCTGAGCCAAAGCCAGTCCCCCAATTCCCTCTGTCCTTGCAGGAGCAGGTGGCCTGGCTCCTGGTGTAGGTGGCCTTGTTCCCGGTGTAGGTGGCCTTGTTCCCGGTGTAGGTGGCCTGGTCCCTGGTGTTGGAGGTGTCCCAGGTGAGGAGGAGGGAGGATGGTGGTGGTGGCAGCCGGGCTGGTGTGGGGACAGTTCTGGTGCAGGACAGGCGTGAGGAGAACCTCAGTGGTCTCCATCAACTCATGGTTCCCCCTGGGAGGATGCAGACAAGGCTCTGCCCAGGTTTGCTGAGGGGACCCTCCAGGGGTGCTGAGACCCTCCTGCTGTCTCCGTGCAGGGGTTGGAGGTCCGGCCGCAGCAGCGAAAGCAGCAGCAAAGGCAGCGAAATTCGGTGAGTCGACCAGAGAAACCCACCACTCACAGCCAGGGGGCACCTGCAGGGGCACAGACTGGTGCAGGGGACGCTGGGGAGCGTTGGGGGTGGGCACCCTGTGCCAGGCACATCCCCCCATGCAAGAATGGGGATCACGCAGGGGTCACCCCGTGCTGCCTCACCCTCTCTCCACAGGAGCCGGGGTCGGAGGGGTGCCCGGTGTTGGAGTGCCCGGTGTTGGAGTACCCGGTGTTGGAGTGCCCGGTGTTGGAGTACCCGGTGTTGGCGTGCCCGGGTTGGTGCCAGGTGTGGGAGTACCTGGAGCTGGAGTCCTCCCCGGGGCAGGTACGTGCTTTGTCACACCCCACCGGGGGCCCTGCTTGGGGACAGCAGCGGCTGGGAACACTGAAAGCCACCCAGCCAGGTGGAGGGGTGGCAGGGGCAGTGATGCAGGCAGGATGGGGGATGGTGGCATGTGGGAGGTGTGTCCTAACTGAGGTGTCCTCCTTCACTTGGCAGGCATCCCCCAAGTAGGTGCTAAACCTCCCAAATTTGGTAAGTGTCTCCACCACCCTGCCCCACGTCCCACCTCAGACTGTCCCCAGGCACCCTCCTCATGTGGCCATCGGGGTGCTGACTTTGTGTCCCCTGCATGTCCCCTTGTCCCCTGGTGGCCCAGGCATGGAAGGTGATGTGCTGTCACCCAGGAGTGCTAAGTGCCACCTCTACCCCCTGTCCTGGACACACTGGGGATGTTTTTCTCCTGTGTGTGTCATGGGTGCTGGGGACACCCAGGGTGGGTGCCAGGGCCACCTGGCTGGGACTGCTCTGAGCTGAGGGTGCCAGGTTAGAGGGGGACAGGCATTAATGTTCCCTCTCTGGCAGGTGTGCCCGGGGTTGGAGTGCCAGGAGTTGGTGGCCTCCCAGGTAAGTACTGGCAGCAGCCAAGCCTGAGCAGTGGGGATGTGCAGGCAGACAGATGCTCCCCCAGAGGGATGTGAGCAGCAGGATGCTTTCCCAGAGGGATGCAGGTGGAGCGATGCTCCCCCCGAGGGATAGGGACAGAGGGATGCTCCCCCTGGGCATGGAGGGAGCAGGGCTGCCCAAGGAAGGATGGGCACACTCAGGGCTGGATAAGGAGTGGATCAGACAATGCCTGTCCTCACTGATGTTCACCCATCATAGGTGGCCTTGGAGTTGGTGGCCTTGGAGTCGGTGGGCTCGGTGTTGGTGAGTGATGCTGGCCCTGGCACTGGGGCTCCCAGGGCTGGGCTGCAGGGAGTGGCAGCTGTGTGCTAGCAGAGTGCCCAGAAGGAAAGGGGTTTATGGGATGAAGGGGATGCAGAGTCACTTTTGTCCCTCCTGGTCCCCTGACACAGTCCCACCCCACACTGTCACCTTGTGCCTGCCCTGCTCCCAGGGTGTGATTCGTTGCTGAGAAGGGACTGGGGGCCATAACACCGGTGTTGCCAGTGCCATGGGAACAGGGGACAGTCCCATACCATGTCCCTCACATGTGGAGCTGCAGGTCCCTCCTGGGGACCCTCTGGACCCTTAGAAGGGTCTGGCTTCAGCACTGGGGGCAGAGAGTTGGAGCAGGGGCTGTGCTGCTGCCCCTCTCTGACACAGGACTCTTATATCCAGGAGCTGCTGGGAAACCTCCCAAGCCAGGTAAGGAGCAGCCAGAGGAGCTGCAGGGGTGACTCTGGTCCCTGTCCTCACCCCTGTCCCCATCCCAACACTCCCCACCCTCACTGGGGCTCTCCCCTTGCAGGTTTTGGTGCTGGTCTAGGTGAGTGCTGTGGTTTGGGGCTGGGATGTGAGCATGTCCCCCACCACACCACACTTGTCCCCACATGCTGTCCCCACTCTGCTGCCACTCCCTGCTGAGCACTGGGAAGCCAGATGGGTGCCATGGCAGGGACAGGGGCTTTTGCCGTGGCTTCTGTCCCTGCACTGAGCAAGCAAACCCAGCCAGGGTGTCCCCTGCCCGGGCTGGGGTGGCACTGCTGTCACAGGCTGTCACTGGCTGTCACTTTTTCCCCAGGGGTTGGAGTTCCCGGCTTCGGCGTGTCACCAGTATTTCCAGGTACCACCCTCAGCACACACCCCGGGCACATCCCGGTGCCTGCCCGGCTCCCGGGGATACACAAAGCCCACGGAGCACAGGGACACGGCCACGGGCTGGGGAGGGACCCCGGGAGCTCTGCTGAGCCGGGGGGGCTCAGCTGGGGGGTGCAGGGCAGAGCGATGTGGGTGCCCAGCGCGTGCTGAGAGCTTCGCTCTCCTTCCAGGTGGGGTCGGCGGCCAGCTGGGATTTGGTGGTGAGTGTCCATCCCCCCCCGCATGGGGCATTTTTGGGGTGTGTGGGGGGTGCACATCCCCCCTGCACCCCGCAGCCGAGGGGACGGGGGTCCCGCTCACCCAGCTCCTCCTTTTCCCTGCAGGGAAGCCCCCCAAGACCTACGGAGGAGCCCTCGGTGCCCTGGGCTTTAGAGGTGAGCGCTGGTGCTGGGACCGGCTCCTGCACCCCCTGCCCTTCTCCAGCACCCCCCGGGGTGCAAGGGGGGCTCACCCCGTGCATCCCCCACCCCATGGCAGGCGGCGTGGGCTGCGCAGCAGGGAAGTACTGCGGGAGGAGGCGGAAGTAACCGCGGCCGTCACCGCTGACCTCATGAACTTTGGTGCTACTGCATGGTCCAGAATGTAAATCCCGAGCAAAGCTGAGACGCCCCCCTCTCCCAAAACCCCTCCCGTCCATCCCGGGGCCGTCCCGGGCCCCGCGTTCCCAGAAGGGGTCCAGCACCTCCGACAGCATCCGTCGCCCCCCAGCCCCTCTGTCCCGGCAGGGAGCGCGGAATAAACTGCGGGGAGCAGCCGTCCCCCTTGGTGCTATCGCTCTCTGCGGGATTTTGGGGGGGGCTTGGGGGGTCGCACCCCTCCCCAGCCCCGGAGCTGACCCCCTCGGGGGGGCAGGAGGAGGGGTACCCCACATTGGAGGAAGGGAGGGAGGGAAGGGGATGCCGGCGGCGGGGGCTGCACGGGGAGGGATGGCCCCGTCGGCCTGGCCCCCCACGCCGGTCCCCGCGACCCCCCCGGTCTGGGGGGGCCGCGGGCAGGAGGGGCTCGGTCCCTTCTGTTGCTCACTTTGCTATAACTGGGTGGGACGCCCTTATACAGAGGGACTCGCTTCTGACAGACTAATAAAGGACAAGTTTTTAAAGGATTCTGGCTCTGTCCTGTGTCCTATGTCCGTGTCCCCCTCCCCGCGATGGTGGCAATGATGGAGGAATCCAGCCCAGCCCCTGTCACTGTCCCCGGTCTTGTGCCCGTGGCTCTGCACAAGCCTGGGGACACAGTGGCACTGTATTGTCACAGCTCTGGGCCACGGGGTGAGGGGACAGCCTGGGCACCTCGGGGCTGCCCCTGCCCTGTCCCCCAGTGCCAGCCCCGGGGATAATTGGGGTGGCCACGGCCTATCCCACAGTGACAACCCTGGGATTCAGGGGGAGGTCTGTGCCCTGTCCTGGGCGTGAGGGGGACATCTGTGCCTTGTCCTGGAGCAACGGCCTGGGGGACAAGGAGGATGCACAGGGAACTCAGAAGGACTCAGGATGTCTGGGAACTCAGGAGGAGGCCCCTGCCCTGCCCCATGGTCACAGCCTGAGGGCCAAAGGCAATGGCCATGTGCCAGCCTAGGGGATGGCAAATACACCCAGGCACGATCTCAGGGTCACAGTACGTGGAATAAAAGGGACATCCATGCCTTGTCCCACAGTGTCAACCCATGGACACAGCACGAAAATCTGTGCCCTGCCCTGTGGTGGTGGCCTGGGGATGCAGAGGGATGTCCATGCCCTGTCCCATGGTGACAACACAGGGAATGAGAGGGACACCTGTGTCACACCCCCCCGTGACAGTACAGGGTAGATGGTGACACCCGTGCCCTGACCACAGTGACAGCTGGGCTGTGTGGGAACACCTGTGAGGGCTAGGGATGGCTGTGGGGACACCTGTACCCTGGCCTGGTGTATTTGGGGACACCACAGTGAGTTGGGACACCCGTGCTGACCAGGGATGGCAGGTGGGGACAGCTGTGCATTGCCCAGGGGGCTGGCCCGGGGTAGTTGGGACCACTCGTGATGGTCACGGATGGGCGAGGACACCCGTGCCCTGCCCACAGGGCTGGCTGGGGGTAGCTGAGGACACCATAGCATATGGGGACACCCGTGATGGCCAGGGGTGGGTGGGGACACCTGTACCCTGGCTGGAGATAGCTGGGGACACCACAGCGGGTGGGGACACCCATGATGGCCAGGGGTGGGTGGGGGCACACGGGGCTGGCCCGGGGTATTTGGGGACACCCGTGACGGCCAGGGACGGGTGAACCAGGGTAGCTGGGGACACTACGGCGGGCGGGGACACCCATGATGGCCAGCGGTGGGTGGGGACATCCGTGCCCTGCCCACCGTGACGGCCCCATCGCCCCGCAGGTCCCAGACCCCACGGACACCCCCGGACACCACCCCTGTGGCCAACCCGCACCCGCGACCCCGCACACAGCACTGACCGCGCCCCTCCGCGCTGACCACGCCCTCAGACCACGCCCCGACCACGCCCCGGCCCCACCCCTGTCGCGTCTATCAGGCCCCGCCCCTTGCCCCCTTTGGCCCCGCCTCCCTTGCCCAGGCCCCGCCCCCCTCGGCCGCGCCGGCGCGGAGCTCCCGCCGCGGTGCCGCCCGCGGAGCCGCAGCAGGGCCGGGGGGGCCCGACCGGCTCGGGGGGACACGGGCAGGGACACGGGGACAGCGACAGGGGCGCGGGAGCGGCAGGGCCCGGCGCGGCGCCGGGCAGCGCGGCTGCATGAGGTTGATGCTGCTGTGCTGCACCTGGAGGGACGAGCCTATGGGAGAGGACGAAGGTGCGTGACCCCCCCGAGCCCCCTCCCATCCCCGCCTGACTCAGCGCTTCCGCCGCCGCTCGGGCACCGAGACCACCCCCTCACCTCCCCAACCCGGCTTCACAGCGCCCGCCGGCCGGCCTGCGGACCCCGCGTCCGCCCTGCATGCGCCCGCATCCCCTCTGCATCCGCATCCTCTGCATCCCCCGCATCCCTACATCCTCCTCTGCAACCCCCATCCTGCGCCTTTACATACCCCCTTGCATCCTCCGCGTGTCCCCTGCGGTCTCCGACCGGCCAGAATCCCCTCTGCACCCCCAAATCTCTCCTACACCCCTACTCACCCTGTGTCTCCCCCCTGCACTCCCCATCCAGCCCGTATCACCCCCTGCATCCCCCCTGCATCCCTCCTCTGTCCTGCGTCCCCTTGCACCCCCATATCCCCCTGCACCCACCATCCAGCTTGCATCCCCCAGCATCCCTACATCCTCCTCTGAGACCCCCATCCTGCTCCCTGACATCCCCCTGTAACCCCACATGTCCCCTGCCCCTCCTCAGCCACCCTGCATCCCCCCTGCACCCACGAATCGTCCCCTGCACCCCTCATCCAGTCCACATCGCACCCTGCATCCCCTCCTGCATCTCTTCTCTAGCCTGGATCCTCCTTGCACCCCTGTATCCCTCCTGCACCCTCTGTTCAGGCTGCATCCCCTATGCTCTCCCAAATTTCCCCCTATACCCCCTGTCCAGCAGTTTCCCCCCTCCAGCCTGGATCCCATCCTCCTGAACCCCCACGTCTCCCTCTGCACCCCTGTCCAGCCTGCAGCCCCTCCTGCACCCCCCTACATCCCCCTTCCTGCACCTCCACATCTCCCCCTGCACACCCCTGTGCCCCTGCTGCACCCCCAAAACCCTGCACCCCCACATCCCCTCCAGCCTGCATCCCTGCCTGCACCCCACAAACTCCCTGCATCCCACATCCCTCCTGCACCCCACAAACTCCCTGCATCCCTCCCTGCATCCCACATCCCTCCTGCACCCTACAAACCCCCAGCATCCCTCCCTGCATCCCACTTCCCTCCTGCACCCCACAAACCACCTGCATCCCTCCCTGCATCCCACATCCCTCCTGCACCCCACAAACCCTCTGCATCCCTCCCTGCATCCCACATCCCTCCTGCACCCCACAAACCTCCTGCATCCCTCTCTGTGCCTGCACATCCCTCCTGCACCCTACAAACCCCCAGCATCCCTCCCTGCATCCCACATCCCTCCTGCACCCTACAAACCCCCAGCATCCCTCCCTGTACCTGCATAGCCCTGCCTCCCCCCCACAAGCCCCCTGCATGTACCCCCACATCCCTGCTCTGCCTTCCTTCCACTCTGCAGCCCAGGGGCCCCTCATCCCTCCCCACACCCACCAAGAACTTGCACCCCCAGGATCTCTGCAGTCACCCTGCACACACCTCTGTGGTCCCTCCCTGCACCTCCACATCCCCCTGGGGACCCCCTGTGCATCCCTGCTCCCCTTATCCTGCAGTCTCCCACCCTGCACCTCTCCATGTCCCCCCGTGCACCCTGCACCCCCAGCACCCACCCTGCACCCCTGTGTCCCCCCATTTGTCCCCCACTATATTCTGCACCCCCTGTCCTCCCTGTCTCCCTCTCTTCATCTATCCTGTGCCCCTCAACCCCCCTACACTCCCTGCACCCATCCTGCCCCCTGTGCCCCCCTCTGCACCCACCCTGCACCCCTTCCCACTCCCCACCACCCCTCCTGCCCCTCATCATGTGCCCCCCATCCCACCCCTGGGCACATCAGTGCCACGACCTTGACCCGTCCCGGGATCGATGGGGGTGGGGGATGGAATTCATCCCCCCGGGGGCAGAGGGAGCTGATCGTGGGTGCTGCTGCAGAGTGACAGCCCTGTCCCCTCGTGTGCCCCCCTCCCACAGGGACCGACCTGCCGGTGTGTGCGAGCTGTGGGCAGGGCATCTACGATGGGCAGTACCTGCAGGCGCTGAAGGCAGACTGGCACTCGGACTGCTTCAGGTGGGACCCCCCCCTCCCTGGGGGACAGCGGGGACACCGGGATGGCACTGGGGGGACGCTGCGATGGGGGCAGCAGGATGGGTGGTGTGATGGACGCTGGAATGGATGGCCCCAGGGACACTGGGATGGCCTCAGGGATGTCAGGATGAGTGGTGTCATGGATACCAGAATGGATGGCCCTAGGGACACCAGGATGGCAGCATGGACACCAGGATGGGTGGTGTGGAATGGATGGCATCAGGGACACCGGGATGGCATCAGGGATATCAGGATGGATGATATCAGTCATGGACACTGGAATGGATGGCCTCAGGGACACTGGAATGGCCTTAGGGACACCGGGATGGCCTCGGGGACACTGGGATGTCCCACAGGGACAGTGACAGAGGACCCCCCCGCGGCTCTGGTGGTGGCACAGCCGTGTGTGAGGCTGTCACGGTGTCACATGCACCCGAAGCGTGGCAGTGCATCCTGGCACCCGCGGTGGGTGCCCCGGCTGATGCCTGGCCTGGCAGAGGGCCCTGCTGCCTGTCCCCCGCGCTGTCCCCTCCTGGCCGGTGACAGGGTGCGCGTGGCTGATGTCACCCGCCCCCCTCCCTCCCTGTTTCCTCTTTCACTCGAGCCCTCCCGGCAGCTCCAGCCGTGGGAGCCCCGAGGAGGACAGGGAGGAAGGTCCCGGCTGGGGGTTCACAGGGGGTGGCCGGGACCTGCCGGGGTTCCGCGTGGGGCTGGGGGTGCCCGGGGTGTCCCCGGGGTGTCCCCCCTGTCCCCGGGGGGAGGATGCTGACGGCGGTGCTGAAGAAGAGCCGCGTCCTGAGCGCCGGAGCCAAGTGAGTGGGAGTGGGGATGGGATTGGGAGTAGGAGCGGGTCAGGAGGGATTTCCACCCCACGGACCCCCGGGGGGGCTCAGCCTGTGCCCCCCATCCCCCCCTGCCTGGGCCATCGGCCCCAGCGAAGCCACTGCGGGGCCGCAGCTGGATCCGGCCCCCCCCATGCCACGGGTGAGCGGCTTCCGGCAGCGCCGGGGAGCCCTCCCCCTCCTCCCCATCCTCCCCCTCCTCCCGCTGCTCCTCTTCCTCCCCCTCCTCCCCATCCCCGCCCCCAGCCCAGGGATGGTTCGTGCTGCGCCATCGGGCGGGGGAGTCCTCGCGCGGTGACATCATGGGGTGGGGAAACTCCTCGCCGTGACGTCACCGCTGGTTGGTGCTTCACCTGCGCGCCCGCCCACGGCTGAGGGGGGACTGCGACAGTCCCCGTGCACCCCCAGCACCTCCTGCGGCGTGTCCTGCAGCAACCCCAACACCTACAGCACATCCCCTACAGCATCCCCTCTGCACCCACCTACAGCACATCCCCTATAGCAAATCCCCTATAGCAAATCCCCCATAGCATCCCCTCTGCATCCCCCCTAGAGCAAATCCCCTATAGAATCCCCTCTGCATCCCCCCTACAGCAAATCCCTACAGGCCCTATAGCAAATCTCCTATAGAATCCTCTCTGCATCCCCCCCTACAGCAAATCCCTATAGCCATGCCCTATAGCATCCCCTCTGCATCCCCCCTACAGCAAATCCCTACAGGCCCTATAGCAAATCTCCTACAGAATCCCCTCTGCATCACCCCTACAGGAAATCCCCTATAGCAAATCCCCTACAGCACCCCTCTGCAACCCCACAATCACCCTTCCCCCTTATAGGAACTCCCCACCTGCAACCCTGCTGGTCCCCTAAAGCAGCCCCCTACAGGAAATCCCCTATAGCATCTCCCCTGCACCCACCCCCCACATCCCCTATGGGAACCCTGCACTTGCAGCCCCCGCTGCACCCCTACAGCACATCCCCTATAGTACCCCCCCTGCATCCCCTATAGGGAGCTCAGCACTCCTGTACCTGTCTGTGCACCCCCAAAACTGACATCCCCCTGCACCCCCTTGGTAGCCCCTGAGCACATCCCCAACCCCTGCACCCCAAGGCTGCCACGTCCCTCTGTCTGGGGGTTTGTGACCACGTCCCTCTGTCCGTGACCAGGTTGGCACATCCCTCTGTGTGACCATGGGCAGGCTGGCACATCTGTCACCAGGGTGGGATGTGCTCTCTGTCCCTGACCAGGTTGGCACATCCCTCTGTGTGTCTGTGCCAGGCTGGCACGTCTGTCACCAGGGTGGCATGTCTGTGACCGGTCTGGCACGTCCCTCTGTGTGTCCATGCCCAGGCTGGCATGTCCTTGCTGGGCTGTCACCTCCCTGCCCCATGTCTGTCCCAGCTTGGTGTCCCCAGACGTCCCTGCAGCACCTGCCTGCACTGTCGCCCCTGGAATCCCCTGCTGCCACCCTGGGGAAAGTGGCATACGGATGCAGTGGGGTAGGAAACAGGGGAAGCAGCTTGTCCAGAGATCCATGGGGTGGATGAGCACTGGCTGTGCCCTGGGGTGACAGTGGGGACGGGTGACAAGGGTGTCCCTGTCCCTGGCGCAGGTGCTGCGAGTGCGGGGCCTCCCTGTCCCACCAGTACTACGAGAAGGATGGGCGGCTGTACTGCAAGAAGGATTACTGGGCACGCTTTGGGGAGCTGTGCCACGGCTGCTCCGAGCACATCACCAAGGGGCTGGTCATGGTGAGCACCAGGGGGTCCCTGGGGGTCCCTGGGGTGGGGCACGGAGCCCTGACCCACGGCCGAGCTCCTGGAAAAGGGTGATGTGGGGAGGGAGTGCAGACCCCCAGCACAGGTTGGGCTCTGCGGGTTTGCACTTCAGGTGCCTCAGGGACTGAGGGAGGCTCGGGGTGGCGGGAGATGTCCCTGCAGGCATTCCCAGCCTGGTGGCACCTCTGTCCCCACCACCCTGCCTGCCCTTCCCTTGTCCCCAGTGCACCCGTGGGTGCCCCTAGCACCCTTCAGTGCCCCAGACACAGGGGCCCTGGGGCTGATGGCATCTGCCCACAGGTGGCCGGGGAGCAGAAGTACCACCCTGAGTGCTTCAGCTGCCTCAACTGCCGCACGTTCATCGGGGACGGGGACACCTACGCGCTGGTGGAGCGCTCCAAGCTCTACTGGTACGTGCTAGCCTGCGTGGGAGGGCGGGGGGCACATCCCCTGGCACCCCCCGCCCACCCTTCTCTCCTCTCGTCCCCGCAGCGGGCACTGCTATTACCAGATGGTGGTGACGCCGGTGATCGAGCAGATCCTGCCGGATTCCCCGGCTTCCCGCATCCCACACACCGTCACGCTCGTCTCCATCCCCGCCTGCTCTGACGGAAAACGCGGCTTCTCCGTGTCCATCGACCAGGGCTGTGGCACCGAGCACCCCCGCACCGTCCGTGTCCGAGAGTGCGTCCCTGTTCCCCTCTGCCACCCTGCCCTGCCCGGGGCTGGGCCATCCTGGGTCCCCTCTGATGCTGGGATCCACCCCAGGGACACTTTGTGGGGTGGGAGGAGGAGGGATGGGGTCCTCTTCGGCCAGGGGTAGCACGTCCCCAGCTGCAGGGAGGTGTTGTGGGACCCACGCTGATGTGTCCCTGGCCATCAGGGTGGCTTGGGGGTGACATGCTGGCAGTGCCCCTGGGTACCAGGCTGGCACATGCCCATGTGGTTGAGGTGGCTCAGGGGTGCTTTCCCAGCGTGTCCCTGTCCAGGAGGAGGGACCTGTGCCCTGCTTGTCCCCATCTAGCAGGGGTGACTCGAGGGGACCATGACTGTGTGTCGCCATCCCAAAGGGTGACTCATGGGTGTCGTGACAGCGTGTCCCCACGCAGCAAGGGCGACCCGTGGGTGCCATGACTGCGTGTCCCCATCCAACGAGGGCATCATGGCTGCGTGTCCCCAGCCAGCAGTGGGTGGCCCGTGGGTGCCTTGCCTCCACATCCCCATCTTGCAGGGGTGGCTTGTGGGTGGAGTGACTGTGTGTCCTCAGAGGTGACTCGCAGGGGCCGTGCCAGCCTGTCCCCTCCCCATTGGCTGGTGGGGGGGTCATGGGCAGTGTCCCAGCACATCCTCACTGCTGACAGTGATTCCATGGGCAGTGTCCCAGCACATCCCTACCAGTGAGGATGTCAGGAAGGTGACCCCGTGGGCAGTGTCCCAGCACACTCCCCCTGTGACACTCCTGGGAGTCTGACCCTGCTTCCTCTGGCCCCCCAGGGTGGACCCAGACTGCATCAGCCCTGACATGAAGAACTCCATCCATGTGGGCGACCGCATCCTGGAGATCAACGGCACCCCCATCGGCCACGTCCCCCTGGATGAGGTACAACCCTATCCCATGGGAATGCCCCCCAACCAGCCCTCCTCCTCAGCGTGGCCCCAAAACCACCCCGCTATCCTTTTCCACCCCCAGATCGACCTGCTGATCCAGGAGACCAGCCGCCTGCTCCAGCTGACCATCGAGCACGACCCCCACGAGCCTCTGGGCCGGGAGCCGGGGTTGGCCGGGAGCCCCCTGCCCGCCCCGTGCAGCCCCCTGCGCTCCCCGGCCCCCCCGGAGCCCGCGGCCATGCGCCAGCGCGCCGTCACGTAAGGCCACCACCTCGCCCCCTCTCCCCTTGGGGTCCCTCCTGGAGGCTCACCCTCTGCCTGTCCGTCCCACAGGAGGAGCTGCAGCACGGACAAGTCCCCGGGCTCGGGCTCCGTGGGCTCCCCCGCGTCCCAGCGCAAGGACATCGGGCGCTCCGAGTCCCTGCGCGTCGTGTCCCGCGCCCACCGCATCTTCCGCCCCTCCGACCTCATCCACGGGGAGGTGCTGGGCAAGGGCTGCTTCGGCCAGGCCATCAAGGTGGGACTCGTGGCACGAGCGTGGGGTTTGGGCTCCCCGGGGTGGAGGGTGGGGGTGTCCCCAGAGGTGGGGGTGGCTCAGTCCCTGCGCTCCCAGGTGACGCATCGGGAGACGGGCGAGGTGATGGTCATGAAGGAGCTGATCCGCTTTGATGAGGAGACACAGAGGACCTTCCTCAAAGAGGTGAGTGTCCCCTTTCCTTAACCCCCCTTTCCTTTAACCCACCTGCTCTGGGGGGGACACAAGGCTGTCCTGTCCTCTCCCCCACCTGACATGGGTCTGGGCACAGCACGTGGAGTGGGGTGTCCGGGCACTGTGGGTGCAGCCCTGCCCAGAGCAGGGTGCGGGTGCCTCGGGGTGTCACAGACACGGGGGTCGTGGGGGGTCTCCTGCAGGTGAAGGTGATGCGCTGCCTGGAGCACCCCAACGTGCTCAAGTTCATCGGGGTGCTGTACAAGGAGAAGAGGCTCAACTTCATCACCGAGTACATCAAGGGGGGCACCTTGAGGGGGCTCATCAAGAGCATGGTGAGCACTGGGGGGACAGGTTGGTCCCCCACCACCCCACAGCAGGGCTGGGGGACCCCTCTCCTCTTCTGTTCTGTGGCAAATCCCCCCTCCTGCTCCTGCTCCCCAGGACAGCCACTACCCCTGGAGCCAGCGGGTGAGCTTCGCCAAAGACATCGCCGCCGGCATGGTGGGTGTCACTGTGGGGTGGGTGGGTGGGTGGGATGGGTGCTGGTGGGCGGGGGGACCGTGGCGTGGGGGTACCCCCAGTCTCAGCCCATCCTTCCCCCAGGCCTACCTCCACTCCATGAACATCATCCACCGTGACCTCAACTCCCACAACTGCCTCGTGCGGGAGGTGAGTCCCACGCTGGCCGTGTCCCTGCCCTGGCCCGGGCGGGGGTCTCAGCCCCCCTGTGTGGCTCCCCTGTGCCTCACCCCTCTCCGCCCCCCCAGAACAAGAGTGTGGTGGTGGCTGACTTTGGGCTGGCGAGGCTGATGGTGGACGAGAAGAACCAGCCCGAACATCTCAAGAACCTGAAGAAACCGGACCGCAAGAAGCGATACACGGTGGTGGGGAACCCCTACTGGATGGCCCCCGAGATGATCAATGGTGAGGGGCAGCGTGGCCAGCCAGGGCTCTGTCCCCAAGCAGGGGACTCATGGTGGGGCAGGGACAGGCCATGTGTGGTGTGGTCTGACCTGTCTGTCCCCGCAGGGAGGAGCTACGATGAGAAGGTGGACATCTTCTCCTTCGGCATCGTCCTGTGTGAGGCAAGGACCCCTGGGGCTGGGGTCTCCCACTGGGGCTGGGGTCTCCCACTGGGGCTGGGGCCCTCACTGTGTTTGGGTTAACCTGCCCCCATGGCTGGGATGTCCCCTTTGGGGTTGGGGTGTTTAGAATCTGCCCTTTGGGATTGGAGCCTCCTACCTTGGACTTGGGGTGCTCATCGGGTTTGGGTTCCCTCCCCCTGGGATTGGGGTCTCCCTTTGGGAATTGAGGTCCTCACTGTGCTTGGGGTCCCCCTTGGGGTTGGAGTCTTCATTATGTTTAGGGTGCCCCCTATCCAGGACTGGGATTTGCCTCTTGGGAGTTTGGATCCTCACTGTGCTTGGGTTCCCCCTCTTGGGCATGGAGCTCTCCCTTTGGATTGGAGCCTCCCCACTTGGGTTTGGGGTCTCCCTGTTCTGGGGTCTCTCCCTTGGGGTTGGGGTCCTCATTGTGTTTGCCATCCTCCCTTGGCTGTGGGTCCTCATTGTGTTTGGGGTCCCCCTTTGGGGCTTGGAGGGTCCTCCCCTTTGGGCTTGGGGTCCCCCCTTGGGGCTCAGCCCTCTCCTCCCTCCCTTTGCCCCCAGATCATCGGCCGGGTGAGCGCTGACCCCGATTACCTGCCCCGCACCACCGACTTCGGCCTCAACGTCAGGGGCTTCCTGGAGCGCTACTGCCCCCCCGCCTGCCCCCCCAGCTTCTTCCCCATCGCCGTCACCTGCTGTGACCTGGACCCCGAGAAGCGGTGAGGGGCTGCAGACCCCCCTGGGGACCCCGCGGGCGGGGGACGGGGCGGGTACGGGGCGAGTGGAGCTGCCACATTGTGTCCCCCGTTTGTCGCCCAGGCCGTCCTTCGCCAAGCTGGAGCAGTGGCTGGAGACCCTCCGCATGCACCTGGAGATCCACCTGCCGCTGAGCTCCCAGCTGGAGCAGCTGGACCGAGCCTTCGGGGAGACGCACCGGCGGGGGGAGGGCGGGGTCCCTGCACCCCCCCGATAGGCCCCAACCCACCCCCTCTGGAGCCGCGGGACAAGGAGCTGCACCCGCCGCCAGCACCTCCTGGGGCTGCCCCCACCCCACCCCCGGGGCTGGACCCCAGGGCTCCCTGGATGCATTCCCCACCCCACCCCTTCCTCACGGGCTGCCCGCCCCGCTGCCCCCACCGCCCCGGGAGCCGGCTCTCCCCGGGGCCGCATGGCCCTGGGCACCCCCCCACGCCGTAGCTCTGCCCCCGGGGACCGTCCGGGTGTCCCCGTGTCCCCCCCGCCCGGCTCACCTCCCCTTTGCACACCGGGGGCTGCCCCGCACGACCCCCGCGGGCCCCCGGACAGAGCCGCGGCCTCGCGGCGGTGCCTTGGCTTTCCGTGAACTTGCACTGCGACACAGGAGGGACCCCCGGCTCCCTTGGGAGGGGGCCCACGACCCCCTCAGAGCCCCCCCAGGGCCTCCCTTCCCCCCCAGGGCACCCTCGTAGCAACGCCCTCGGCCGGCCTCTCACGCTGCTCCCGCTGGCACCCCGGCCCCGGGGGGGCTGCCGAGCGAGGGGTCCGTGTGGGGGGACACCCCCGTGGCGTGGGGACAGGCACGTAGCGGTCCCCGCCGCCCCACGCCCCCCTGCCCCGGGTGGGATGCAGGGCTCATCTCGGTCCCCTCGCCCTGCGGGCTCGGGGCAGGTTGGGGGCGGGGGGGGAGGGTGTTGCGCCACGCGGTGCTTTTCATGCTCTTTATTCAGGTTCATTTTTCTGTAAGATATTTAAAGAGAAGAGTTTGTATTATTTTTTCATACGACGTAGCGTTTGCCATTTGTCACTGCCTCGGTTCTGCTTTCCCGAAGGGATCAAACTGTGAAGCCTCTCCGCGCACTTTTGCCCGGGAAGTCCAAGGCGACGCCCCCTCCGGAGGCGGGGAGGGAGCTCAAACTGTGATGTACCCCGAGCCGTGAGTCAATAAATCCTTCCCCGCTCGCTGCCCGGCCTGCTTGGCAATCGCTCACCTCCCCCGGGGGGGCTGGGAGCTCGTGGGGACACTGAGGCAGGAGGGGACGGTCCCCCTGCCCAGGGGTGTGGTGGTTCTGGGCTTGGTGCCACCCCTGGCTCGGTCACCCGTCGTGCTGTCCCCACCCCGTCGTGGTTCCTGCCAGGCTCCCCCAGCCCTGTGTCCCCTCCCTGGCCTGGTGGCCGTGCCATGGCATGGCATGACATGTCACCACTGTCCCCGTGGGGTGGTGACAGGCAGGTGATGGAGCTGAGTGACCACTGGAGCAGCTGTGCCTCTGCTGTCCCCTGGGGCTGAGGTGGCCCATGCAGTGGTGGCCCGTGGCCCTGCCATGCTGTCCTCTGTCCTTGCCCCTTTCCTAAACCAAATTAAGGTCCCAAGGTGGAGGATCTCTGTCCTCGGGGGGTGCTGAGCTCTGGAAGCTGGAGAAGACTTGGAACTGAAGGAGCTTGTGGGGGAGGGACAGGGAAGGGACTGAGGGGATGTCCCCAAGGATGTCCCCAGGGATGCTGCAGCTGGGCGAGGAGCCTGAAGGCATCCAGGGATCCAGGCTGGAACCTCCATCATTGAACCTCAGGGTTTATTGTTCAGGAATGCTCAGCTGGAGGGACCAGAGGGGTTGGGGAGGTGACAAGTGGCTTTGACCCCTCCAGGGTGGCTCCTGACTGCCTGTCACCCAGCACCCAGTGAAGGACAGGGACAAACTGTCCCTGTCAGTGTCATGGGGCTGTCATGCCACCCTTGGTGACACCACACTGCCCTTGGTGACATCCCACTGTGCTGGTTCTTTGCTCTGAGAGCAGGACACTGTCACTCCCAGGGAACACCGGGGACCTGCTGTGGCTGTCACCTGGAAAACCCCATGGTCCCCAGTCCCCTGCTGCCTGGGGGACCCCTGGCCCTGCAGTGGGAACCCCCACAGCCAGGGGACCTCCAGACCTCCACAGCCCCTCAGCCAGCTGGGTGGAGCTGTGGGGTGTGATGTGCCTGGTGGTGCCACTTGCTGGTGGCCCTGCAGGGGACCCTCAGTGCCAGGATGGGTGAGCCAGCAGCTGGCCATGGCAGGTGGCCACTCAGTCACCCCCATGACCAGCAACTCATCCCAGACAAAGCCACTGGCCAGGACACCCCTCACCAGGCAGGGAGGTGGCCCTGGCACAGCCACAGTGGCCCCACGCCATGGTTGTCACCTACCCAACCCCTCCCCATGGGGGTTCTTCAGCACCCTGTGCCCCAAATCCACCCACTGGCATGTGTGGCACCAGGTCCCCTGCCAGCCCCTGCCCAGGGGCCACAGCCTGGCAGGGCTCCTTGCAGCCCCCCATCCACTGTGGCCTGACACCAGTGTGAGGGGCTCATCCCCCCCACTCCCAGCACCTGCCTGTCCCCTCAGCCACCACCTCCCGGGGGGACAAGGCCACCCAGACTAAGTACAGGCCACCAAGAGCTGCCACTGCACCCACTGCTCCCCCCCTACCAGGTCCTGCTCTGTGCCTGCCCAGGTAAAGTTCTGCCCAGGCCTGACCCCAGTCTGGGATGGTGGCAGGTAGGGAATCAGATGTCCCTGCCAAGGTGGTTGCCAAAGGCACTGGTGGCTCTGGCAAGGACAGACTGAGAGCTCTGGGTCCAGCCAGGAGCCATTGGCCACCTGGTTTATCCCCTTCTTCATGGGTGAGTTTAGGGCTCCAGGGAAGAGGAAGGGCCTGGCTCCTCCCAAAACTGTGGCAGGGTGGGCACTGGTGCTGTGGGGACCCTCCTGTGGGCAGGGGGTGACAGGCAGCAGGGTCCTCACCAGGAGAGGAGGTGCTGGGGACAGTCAGGGCACCCAGCTCCATAGGATGTGTGGAACTGGAAGGGGTTCCTGGGATCCCACCAGGGCACCCAGCTCCACAGGTGTGTGTGGAGCTGGTGAGGGGTCACTGGGGTGCTGCTGGGGTGTCCAGCTCCACGGACACAGATTCCCATCTCCAGCCAGGGGAAGGCTCACCCACGTGGGAGGATATTCCAGTGGTGAGCAGGTGATGGCACTGGGATGCTCTGGAGCCTTTTCCACCCCAGCCAATCCCTCTCTGAGCTGGAGGCTGGACTAGAGACATCTGGGGATCATTCCCACCCTCCACCACTCTGATCCACAATCTTGTGCTGGCACCTGGCTCTCCCTGTCCCCAGATCCACCCTTTGTCCCCTGGGAACAGCATCCATCCTTCCAGCTCAGCACTGGGGACCTCGTGAGGTTCTGGAGTGGCCTGAGCCCTCCCTCCATGAGGGACACAGAGGTGTCACTGTCACAGCCTCGTGTCCCCCCCACCAGCCTGGGCTGGAATAGGAGCCACCTCCTTGGGTCACACAGGTCACCAGGACCTGATGGCTCCACAGGGAACATCTAGACCCCTAAAACCCTGTGTGGGGCTGAGGCCAATGCTTGGGGGGTCAGTACCCACCTGCCTCAGTTTCCCCTCTGCCCAGAGCCAGGGGTGGGATATAAGGATGGGAAGCAGGAGCTGTTGCTGTAGCTCCCTGTCCCCCCTGTCAGATGTCCCCTGGCCCCTGAGAGATCAGGCTCATCCTGGGCAAATCCAGGCAGGGAAATCCCATGGGACACGCATTCCCACCTCACTTGCCAGCAGTTTTTGTAGGGTCTATGTAAATGTGACATTTATAAACACAGCTCTGGGAATTCAGCTCTCCTGTGTGTCGCTGCTGTCCTGCCCCTCCCTGCCAGCTGGGGACACGTGGGTCCCATCCCTGACCCAGCTGGCAGTCTTGGGGGACAGAGGGGCCTGGGAGGGGACAGGCAGGGCAGGCCTGGAAAACCTCAGCTCCTTCTGATGGGAAAAATTGCTTCTCCTCGGTCCTGCTCCGCCCTCCCCCAGCTGCGGCACAAATCCCTTCCCAGCGCTGCTCCAGGGGAGGTGAGTGACAGGCTGGGAACTTGGGGTGGCATGGGGGCACTCCTGATCCCCCAGTGCCACCAGGTGCCTGGGGGAGACCAGGAATGGGCAACTTCAGCTGGTGAGTCCTTGGTGAGGGGTTTGGGGGTCTGGTGACGAAGGGAGGGCAGGGTTTGGGGTGGGATGGGTGGGACACTGTCCCTCCTGCTGTGCCACCATCCCATGGAACTCATCTGTGTCCAAACCCCTCCAAAGGGGCTGGCACAGGCTGGACATGGGGGAATGTGGACCCCCCACACCCCCAGACCCCTTTACCTTGGAGACAAGGATAGGGAGGCGCTGTTGTGTGGACTTGAGGTGACCCCAGTGCATGGATTTGGGGGACTGGGAGACCCTGGTGTGTGAGTTTTGGATTTGGGAGACCCCAGAACAAGGGTTTGGGGGCTCTTTGCTGCTCTGTAAGACTCAAGCCCAGGCAGTGACCCCTGCTCAGATCAAGGGAAAGAAGCCAAAAGGCAGGAGTTACAACCCAGGTTTTTGGAGTCCACCCTGAGCACAGAGCCCCAAACCCACCTGGACCTTGTGCTGGAGCAGATCTTGGAGTGCTTGATGTGGCAAATCCTCTCCCTGAAAAATGAGTTTATTCCCAGCTTGGAGCCTGTTTGGAGACTGGAAAGTGCAGCCTCTGCCCATCATTTGGGGTAGCTTTCGGGGTGGACCCTTCAAGGTTCTGTCCCGGGGGATGTTTCCCTGGGGGCAGCAGCGAGGTGCTCCTCTCCCACTGGCATTCCTCGGCCCGGCCACCACCGCGCTGGGAAGCCCCCAAAACTGCATCTGTTGCAACAGAAGGAGCTAAAAATAGTCGTTCTCACGGCGGACACAGGGAAGGATCCAAATATGCGGCCTCGGGAGCTGCCAGCAGCCGGGGACGGGGTTGACCCCCCGGCCCTGCCTGGCTGACACCCTGTGGCTTCTGCCACCCCAAATCTTCCCCATTGACCCTTCGAAGCCCCCCCAGTGCAACCCGAGCCCCCAGGACCTGCCTGGATGGTGGAGCTCTGCTGAGTGCACGCAGGGGGAGCAGGCAGACCCCGGGTGCAGGCAGGGATGGAGGCAGAGCAGGCAGGGGGAGCAGGCGGACCCCGGGTGCAGGCAGGGGGAGCAGGCAGAGCAGGTAGGGGAGCAGGCAGACTCCGGGTGCAGGCAGGG